TCCACAGTTACAGGAACTGCAGAGTTTCATTGTATGTGTATCCCTTAGTTAGTTAGTTAGTTAGTTGGTTGGCTAGTTAGTTAGTTATTTAGAGAGGGTGGGTTTCCCCACGCACCGCGACCAGTTTGATCTATTGTGCTTCCCTCTATGATATTCTACCAGTCTCTATACCCTACCGATAAATGGTGCATACCATTAGTCCCGCTGAGCAAGCAAGTTCGGCCACTTGCTTCGCGGTGTCTATAATGCTTCCCCCATCTATTAGAGGCCTTAGAGACTATTGTTGGGCAGGAAACGTCCTGGAATTTGGCTCAGTGATCCCCTTTGGGGATATGAGGTTCTTTTACGTGCCGTAAAGTTACGACATGGGACACACAGCTTAAAGTCCCTCCTGGAGGACTTGTTCCCTGAATTTTTCCGCCCTTAAAAATTCGATGACCTCGCCGAGTATTTGAACCCGCGTACTACGAGTCATGAGGTGGGAACATTACCTCTAGACTACGGAGGCCGCTATGTGTATCCCTTACTCAACATTTCCTAAATCAATGGAATGGCCATGCTAGTTCCATTTCTTGGCCAGCGAGATCACTGGATATCACACCATGTGATTATTCCTATGAGAATATGTAAAAGGCAGTGTGTGCCAAACTCTGGCAGCTAACATCCATGATATGAAAGAAAAGAACAACAGTTAATGTTTATATGCTACAGCATGCAATAGCCACCTACCAGGAACTTTGTGAAACTTGACACTGACATGGATTTAACATGAATGGAGCCTAACATTGCTTGGACACTGTACAAATGGCAAGTGGCGCCCATGTTGAATGTCTGTAATGTTCAGAACCAACTCTGAGAGTTTCTCTCACAGATGATGTATAAACAGAGTGTCTATGTCTTTTCATGCAGTTATTATAAGTGAGTAGAGTTGTAATGATAATTTATATACACTCTGTATAATTTCTTAATTTGTAATCTATTATTTCTTTATTGGAGCCAGGATAGTGTAGTGAGTAAAGCGACTGGCTATGGGCTGGACAACTGACGGGTCGGATTAAGAATTTTCTTTTCTCCACATGGTCCAGATCGGCTCTCGGGTTCACCCAACCTCCTATCCAATGGGCACCAGGGGCTCTTTCCCCAGGGGTAAAGCGGCAGGGGCATGAAGCTAACCACTCACCTCCAGCTAATGCCGAGGCGAAGAAAATGTGAATCTATATATCCACTCCTCCATATGCCTTCATGGTGCAGTGCTTAATTAGTTAAGAACAGGGACAATTTTTCTTACTTCTTAGTTTTTAATCATTTATGTTTTTGTGTTTCATAAACAGGTACTGGCATGACATACTTCTGCAAAAAGCCCTGGTCTTTGGTATGTATAGATGATTGGCTCTCAGGTTTAAACTAACACTTAAAACATCCAACAGCAAATGTGTGAATGTAAAGTTTCTACAAAAATTGCCACAATAATGACAGCTGACACTGATTATAACAATAATGCTGTATTAATCTGAAGGGATCAGTTTTATGGAAGACCCTTTGGCAGCCAGAAACTTAAGAGAAACAGGACTGTGAGATGTACAGTTCAATAATCTAAGATAAACACAGGACATAAACTAAGTTTGACATCAATATCTTCATTGTGGTTCCTCTAAGTATACAGTAAAAGAAAACACACTCTACATGGCAAGGCAAGTTTATGCTGTGACAATCGCATGTGCATACACACACAGACATACAAACACTTAGAAGACAGTAACACATGTAATGGAGATTTTGCTTTCTCTTCCAAGTACAAATCTAATTTCATGATACACACTATGTAAGCTTCATGCTAAATTTTAAAGCTTTCATTAGGCCTCCTGAAGACTGTATTTTTTTTAGCTACAATTAGACCTGTCATAACATTTTCTGCTTCTATTTATTCAGACACAAATAATAAAATAAACACACATACTGCCAAGCCAGTACACTCTGCCAGTGTCAAAGACTACTCATATTTCTTTGATTGTCTAAAAATTCTGCCTTCTCTCCAATAATTGGCATCTAACTACCACAGAAAAAAAATCACAGTTCATGGCACAAAGTTTGCAGAATTCTAGGACTTAACCAATTCTGAAGGTATATTTGATAGAAATATTTGTTTTTCGAATTGAAAATTGTTTCTGATAATATGTTTTAGTATGTCTGCCTGCCTGGCCCACTAGTTTAAGTTCTCAATAGCCAGTAAAAAGTACAAAAACTAGATACATGCTGCAGGACCTTTCTTAAAAAAATTGTTGCTCAGCTGAAAAAGATATTCCTATTGTTTTACACTATTATTATTATTATCATCGTCATCTCTTGTCACAGGTTTATTTCCTGGTATTCCTTTGCTTGGACCAGTGATGCACCTCACCACTCAGGCTTCAAGCTTCGCACTGTAGCACTTTCCGTAGTATGTGTGATGTTCCCAGGATAGCTGTTTTTTGCAGTGAATCTATGGAGTGTTTACCAGGAATTAGTTCCAAATGTTTCCTCAGCCCTCTGGTAACTGTACCCGTGGCTCCAATAATCACTGGTATCACAAAACATTTCACATTNGGTGAATTTTTTCCCGCCCGCAGAAAGCATCAGTTGCTGGCAGTCGGCCTATGAGTGAGGACATGTAGTGAGCCCTCGTCGGATTTCAGTAAGGAGTAAAATGACGGAACAACATGAGCAGCGATATTGCATCAAATTTTGCGAAAAGCTTTGAAATACCCAAGTGGAAACCATTCACAAGATTCAACAGGCTTTCGGGGACGATGCCATGAGCAACTCATGGATAAAGGAGTGGTACAACCGCTTCAAAGATGGCTGCACATCAGTGGACAGCGAACCGCGTTCAGGCAGACCCTCAACAAGCCGAAATGAGAAATGTCATTGAGCAAGTGCAGACTTTGGTCATGGAGGACCGTCGTATCACAGTCCAAGAACCTGCGAATGAGATAGGGGTAAGCATTGAATTGGTACATTCAATTTTGACCGAGGATTTGGGCATGAGGAGAGTGTCCGCGAAATTCGTACCGAAACTGCTAACAATGGAGCAGAAGCAATGCTGTCTGGAAATCGCACAGGACATGCTGGACAATGCAAACAGTAACCCCAACTCCATGTGACTTTTGGCTATTTCCCAAGCTGAAAATGCCGCTGAAAGGAACCCGATTTGAGTCAAGAGAAGACATCATGCGGAATGCGACGGCCCGACTGATCACCATTCCAAAAGACGCGTTCCAGAAGTGTTTCCAACAATGGCGGAAGCGCTGGGAGAAGTGTGTGCATTACCAAGGAGACTACTTTGAAGGGGATTAGGGTTTTGTACCTCCAAATCAATAAATGTATTTCTGCCAACCAAAGGTTTGATACTTTTTGAACACACTACGTATGTCAACGCCATCATCAAAAACCTTTAAACCCAGAAATTACTAGGTTTCTTGAATCCCCAGTGTTCCTTAACTGAGCCAAATGAATCCAGCCAACAGTCACATAACCTATTTTTCCTACATTTATTTTAATATGGTCCTCCCACACATGCCCTAGTTGCTCCTTAGAGACTTTCATCCAAAACTGTGTCTCCATTCATCTTCCCCACATATTCAGCATGTCACACTCATACCATCGTCTCTCAGTGGGAACTACTCGTACTATTCCCTTCTTAATGTTTCTTCAATGTTGTCCCTAGCATATGTATACCCTGCACTCATAACTATCCCATCAATTCTGCAGAAAACTTCTATCTCCCTAATATTCTCAGAATGTGTCAATGGGAAAATATATATCCCAACCTAAATACGTATACTACAGAGGGAATAATTTAACTATAAAGTGGTTAACATGACATTTCAATATCTGGCAGTATATGTGTTAAATCAAACTGGCAACCTAATACAAGACCTGAACTATCCAAATCTATATATATAGTACATAAAACAAAAGATACATCCACATGACTCATATGACAATGTTTCCTTTTTTCAGGATTAAAAACAATTATTTTCAATGCATTTGGATAACTACAGCTTCCAGAAGGAGAAAGAAACAAAAATGGGAAATACATTTAAGTAATTTTGAAATTACATTAAAATATGTAAACAAGTTAAATATATTTTGTAAAATACCATATTTACCTAAATATAAGACCAAATACCTTTTACCAAACTTGAAAAACATGAAAAGTTCATGAAAAATAATTCCATCACCCCTAGTTTTGATGCATTGCACAAGCTAAACTTTTTGAAACATGAAAAATTTGTACTATTTTCACATGACCAGTCTACTCTAGTTTGAGGTATAACGTGCACAGATAATGCTATAATGGAACTGATGGTGCAAAATTTTCATGAAGCATACCAGACAGGTATACCATTTTTAGGCACTGGGCATAACACCATTAAAAAGAGAGCACTCTGGAACTGGAGGTTGCATATACACCCAATTTCAGCACTGCTTAACATGCATTAATACTAACGTAACTGGAATTCTACAGCCAATTCCCATCAGCAAAATAAAGTTTGTGCATCTAAGGGTGTGGAAGATCTTGCAAACTGGACAAGAATCCCAGGACATTCAAGACCAGCTGAACACTCTGATGTACATACACACACATACATATATATATTTGGGTGTGATCACAGCCTCTTCTTCTCATAGCACTTTTCTGTTTTTATATAGGTTGATGAACAAAAAGTCTTCTATCTCTTTTCTTGACCCACACTTCATCCTTTTCGATTTTTGCCAGTTCTTTCATCTCTTCTTGATGTCATGGTTGAATCACAATGTCCTTGTGGGCCAGCCTAAGGTCTCTGTCCTTTCAATTAAAATTCTAATGATCTTCTTGGTATCCTTGTTCTATCCCTTCTTTTACATGGCCAAGGCATTGTAATTGCTGCTCTTCTAACCCTGCTAACAAATTTTAAACTCAATTCCTTCTCTTAGAATTTCACTTTTAAAAGTATCCCTTCTTATTTTTCCTTGTAGTTAAAAAATATCATCCCCATTGTTCAGATTTTGTTTCTCTTTGTATGGATCCATGTTTCTGAATTATAAGCAAATATTAGCTTAAAATATACTTTATATATCATTTGTTTACACTGCTTTGGGATTTTTCTGTTCCATAATATTCCTTCTATAATGTGATTTCATTTCCCACATGCAAATTTTATGCCTTCAATAACTCTGGTGTTAAAACTGTATTGTGACATTCATGTCTAAGTTCCTTGAAATTCCCATGGCCATTATCTTTCCCCTGTTCATTTTCAGCTCATGTTCTATGATATCAGATTCCATTAGTTCGGATTCTCTTCAATTCCCTTTTCATCTTTCCCCACAAAATTAAACAATCCTCCAACATATGAGGTGTGTTCAAAATGTTCCTGATATGTGTCTATAAATAATATCTTTCTCTGCTTGGAGCTTGCTGAATATAGTCCCCTTGCACAGCAATGCACCCCTCCTGCCACCTTTTCCACTATTAGAAGCACTGTTCAAAGGACGTTTGTGGTATCACCTCCAAATCATCCGTTGCATTAATGATGATGTCTACCAATGTCTGAAATTTTCATCCATTAAGGGGACTTTTGAGTTTAGGAAATAGTAAAAAGTCGGAGGGGAGAGGTCAGGTGACTAGGGGGTTGTGGAAGGTAGAAATTTAATGTTTTGCCAAGAATTGTCAAATTAACAATGCTGTGTGGGCCAGCACGTTATCATAATGGAGGAACCAGTTTTCCACAGTTCACATTTCAGATCGTTTTCTTCATACTACATCCTGAAGACGTCTTGGAACTACTACATAAAAATCTCAATCAACTGTCAGACCTTCAGGAGCGAATTCATGATGCAGAAGGCCTTGATGATAAAAAAAATCAAGCAACATTACTATCACTGGCAAGCACAGCTCTCATGCTTTCTTGGGGTGAAGCAAAGAAGGACACTTCCAATGTGAGGACTGTTGTTTGGTTTCAATGTCATAACCATACATCCACCTTTTCTCACTGGTAATGAATGACCTTTGGTGGATATTCACAGATGGAAAATTGCTGCAGTTTCTCAACATCAGCCAGAGTCTTGGTACAAATTTTACTGAGATCTGCTGCAGGCTTATACTTTCCATTAAAACTGAGTGGCATGAACCACTGGATATTTCAACCTCTTCTGCAGCTTCTTGGACAGTCAACAGATGAATTCCGTGGACAATGTTTTTCACCTGGGCAATCAGAGGTTCACATCTTGAAGTTAAATGTTGGCCAGACCCCTTGTCATCTGTTGAAGTGCTTCCATTTTTAAAATGTTTGCACCATTTGTAGGTTATCATTTTGAGCCGTTCTGAAGGTCAGCTCGCTCTCGGTGTGATGTCATGGCGGCTGCCATTCCCGGATTCCATCCCCACCCCTAATAATGTTGACGTACTACCCTCGTCACATGACCCCATCCCACCTCCTAGTCTCGGAACGAGGAGAGACTTACTGTGCAGTCTGTCGGATGATGCTGACCAGAGAAGATGATTACCACCTAGCAGGGATTGTTATTAGAAATTCCGTTTCAGCTGGGTTACTTCAAAATTTGGTTTGGTATCTGGCTGGAACACAGCAATAGAACCAGCGACGATGGGCTGCTTCTTCCCTCTTCACGGTTCTCGTAATGAGTAGCATTTGAGAGAAGGGGAAGGGGGCGGTTCAATTTAACTCAAGGCATGAACACCATAAGCTTCACACATGTTGCAGGTTTCTGCAGAAGTTCTTCCTACCTTGGAAAAGAATTTAACACAAATTCTTTGCTCCTTTACCAACAAGACAACATCACACCTGATCAAAAAACTGGTTATAAAAAGTAAACGGAACAAAATGGCTTGTGTAACTAATGGTTGGGTTACAAGGTCACTCAAACAACACCTAATTGATTGACATCCTGCAGCTCCATACCCTCATTTCGGGAACTTCTTGAACAACCATCATATACAAACACACTAAACAAACAAAGGCCTGACTATACTACAGACAGCATTAAAATATTAAGTACTCCGTGATACAAATGTTCATCCCAATGAAATATTTTGCTCTGTTTGCAATTACAACACTTTTCATACACCAGTGTACAAGAAAGACAACCTCATCTTATACTCAGGTAAATATGGTAAGCATAAAAGCACATAAGATATCAGAAATATCAAACTGCTCACCTAATTTAATGAAAATGCAGGAGCATTATTATGGATTAACATGCATAACAGACCTAAACTTGTGGTATAAAACCAGGTGCCTCTCTCATGCCATTGTACTCACTGTGCGAAATTTCACATATGTGAAACTAATTAACAGCATGACAAATACAATTCTCATGATCTAAATAAACACACAAAGCATTTAAATTTAAACATACTGATACTGCTTTCATCACAGCTGCATATGCTTCCTTCTGTGACTTACTCAAGTAAGGTCAAATAAATATTGCCTATTTCAATGTACAGTGCCTTATCCAGACATTAATACAACCACACTCTTCAAAAATCTTTATTTTTTCCATTGCACATTTTTAAAAAATTAAAAATATGAAGACATGTTCACAGACAAATTAAAGCTAATGGACTGGATGTAGTTTGAAGAGGAGGAAATGGAAAGGATATCTGACTGGTGCTGACCTTTCTTGAACTCCCCAGTCTGCGAGGTGACAGCAAATGGGCTGGCAGTTTCCAGGGAATTGGAGCACCCAATCTGGGCAGCAGGCACACTTTCTTTGAGGAAAGTTTAATTGCTACTTCCAAAACTTCAACCTGGAAAGCAAGATGGAACACAAGGAGTGGTCACAAAAAAGTTAAGAACAGATAAGGAAACGTCTTTAAAATTGTTAACTATCTTTCAGTACAGATTTTACAGCACCACTGTATTACACAAGTTTTATACATAGCACCCACATAGATGCTGTACATTGACAGTTCTCTAACTATAGTATACATTTTCTACTACCTGTCTTTTGAAGTCAAGTGTCCAGTTCTTTGAACCACTGTTTCACGCTGTTCCCATGTTGTTACTGGTTTTAAGTCCACATCCAAAACGATGCTTCATTCATTTCCAACAATGAAGCAACATGTGGGAAGCTAAAAATGATGACAGTGTGTAACAACTGTGAAACTGTGGATGAAAAGTACAGGACACTGACTTCAGTGGACATGCTGTACAAAAACTCACCTATGACTGAACATATTCTGGAGCTATCATTGTCATAATAATCTCCAATTCACAATATAGTCAAGTATCCCAGTATGTATACAGACTATGTACAACTTGCATTGTCCGCATCAAGGACTGGGTAAATCACTTCAACATATGTGCTTTGTAAATGTCCTTTTCAGTCACCCCTATTATTATTTCACTCTATAGTACTGGACATCATACACCAAGTTATAATAACATGTGAATAACAGATACATGTCCTAGGTACCAAACCTTGCACTTATATCAAAATCCAATTTATTATTCAGCTGACAATTATAGAATTCTCTGTACACTGTGCACAGATAATAAGCACGCAACAAGGGCCATATTATTAGCCCTCTATTACTCTTAACATGGCAGGAGATACTGAAATTCAGATGGCCATGCCATTTCTAACATAGTAAGATGTAGTGAAATCTTTTTTAAACTTCAGATACCCACAGAAAACTATGCTAACAGCACCATGCTCTTGTACGACCGAAACATGCAGGAAGAATAAAAAGTCGTAAAACATTAAAGGCGAGAATATTTGTTGTGTGACGGTTAAACTAACTCCTACATACAAATATACATATATCCATTGCTAGGGAACAGCTAGGTAAACATGTTGAAACCAATGCACATCCAACAACAGAAGGGTGTCCACTGCTAGGTAACAGACCATTAAACATATATCACAGCAACAAATCCACACAATAAGACATCCATTGCCTAACACGCCTGACAACAATACATGAGATCTGTTACTAAGCAGTTGATGTGTTTTCCGTGGTTGGTCCGTGACGAGCCTATATAGGAAGGAGTGAAGACTGTTTGAGAGGCTCTGTCAGGAAGACATCATTCAAGGCAGTTCAATAGTTGATGTGTTAACTTTGAGAGTGTTATAACTGTTTGTCACAGATACATAAATCTTGAAAGTGTAACAAATTGTAGTTACGATGCGTGAAATTATCAAACAAATCGAGTTATCAAATTTGGAACCCGGTATTTATTGTTGTGTTACCAGGATACACGCGACAATATGAACAATGCATGATGTATTTTATGCGTACCTGAACTGAGCTCCTGAAAATGACATGGTCATCATTAATGCAGTCTACTTTATATTAAATCCAGTTCTCAGGATGATCCCTATATAAAGTTACTGCCTACTCACCATTTGGATGCACTTCTCAGTAAGTTCTGTACTAGGTACGCCGTGGATTGAGGCGACCTTGCTGCCATCTTCAGGATGAATAGTAAAAGTTGAGGGCTCGGTTAATATCATAGTCTGCTGCCAATACAACCTGAAAAGGAAGAAATTTTACACTAAGAAATGTTCTGCACTAATATGAGTATAAGTTTACAAATCCGAGCCTAACTAAAAGTAAAGACATAATAACATAACAACTACTGCTGTAATTAACATTGCAATTTCAGCAATTTCCTCCCACTTTCCTTTTTTTTTAAACAGACAGGTTGCATTTCTGTTCCCATATTTTCTTCTTCCAAATTAAGGATTATAAAACAAAATTCTTGTTGACAGATTTTGGAAGCAACATACAGCTAATGTTACAAATTGAATCATTTCCTTATCTGGTACAGAACACGTGAGCATAAATATTTTTCTTTCAGACTTACGGTTTAAAAAATAATATTATACCACACAGGTGTTTTTAAACACAATGTAATTGATACTGAAAATTCAAAACATTACTTACTTTCACCAAATTTGAATGATAAACATTTTTATTCTTTCCTATTCTTTTCACTGACAAGCCATCCATTCATTCATTCAAGTTGAGCCCTTCTTGAGAAGCTGCCAATCGTGCAGCTGCTGAAGTACTTCCCAGCATTTTATGGGACCCGAAGGTTCATTACCGTCTTCATAAGAGTCCTCCACTGGTCCCTATCCTGAGGCAGATCACTCAAATCCATACAATACCATCCTATCTCTCTAGGATTCCTTTTAATACTGTTCACCAACCTACGCCTTGGTCTTCCCAGTGGTCTCTTTCCTTCTGGCATCCCCACCAATACCCTATATGCATTCCTCTTCTCCCCATTCGTGCTACATGTCCTGTCATCTCATCGTCGACTTGATCATTCTAATTAAACTTGAGAAGAGTACAATTTATGAAGCTCCTCATTATGCAGTTCCCTCCAACTTCCCATCACTTCATTTCTCTTCAGTCCAAATATTCTCCTCAACACCCTGTTCTCAAACACCCTCAGTCTATGTTTCTCCCTTCAGAGACAAAGTTTCACACCCATGCGCAACCACAGGCAAAATTATACTTTTGTATATTCTAATTTTTAGGTTCTTAGACAGCAGATAAGAAGACAGGAGGTTCTTAATTGATTGGTAGCAAGCATTAGCCGAACCAACAAGCTATTTCTGGGCAATAATTCTCAGCCTCTTACATGTGCATGACTAAGGAATTTATGTCCAGCTGGAGCTGTTATAATGAACATTCTGAACAGTGAGGTGGATGAAGAAATGGAGGGAAACTTGTGAATTATTATGTGTGGTACTTTCCAATAGTTCCAGGAATGAAGCCATATCTCAAATTTTGTTGAACTAGACACACCTGCCTCCAAAATACCTACTGTCATTTAGCAGCACTACAGTTCTTCTGTCAGTATATGCAGATTTGTTCAAAACATGTGTTGAAGTCACCCTGTATCAACTTCATCCAATAGAACCTCTAAAGCCATGTGAACTTAGCTGATCGTCCTTCTTCCATCAAAACAAGTTGAAGTTCCACAGTGTGAGAGTGGGAGAATGTGACAGGCATGCTTGGGGAGCTGCTGCTTAACAAGTAGCAATGCACATGGCCATTGTCATAAAGTAGCACAAGCCTCGGGGTGTATGAGGGATCACAACAATAGCATGGTCATTAAGTAGCTGTTAAACAATCAGCAATGTGCCAGGCCATGGTCATGAAGAAACTTCATCCTTTGGTTGCACACATTTTGGGGTGCTTCAGGTGAAAAGAACTCTTGGTGTATGATGTTCTAGCAGATGAAGAGATGTGCAACATCATCTTCCCCTGCAAGTGATCCTACTGGACCTACATATAGCTTAACATCAATCGCCACTTTTACATTTGAGATTATCACTTACTTGTACTTTGTTGACTGTACAAGAAATACCAGCTTTTGTCACCTATGACAATATATTATATTTCCCATGATGATGAGCTCATCATTGGTCTTCAAGCAATTATCTCACTGTCCCTGCATTATAACTGGTGCTATGATGTGTTGGGAGATGTACTGCATCTTCACAACCTTACTGATGATGATGTGGCAACTAACAAGACTCTGACACACATAACTGTCCCTACATTCTGACAATGATAGTACACAATCTTAGGACTCTGTCTCAGAACATCATTATTCCATGTTACATGTCATTCACTGTGCACACCTGTCCTTAAACCCGTGATGCTGCTCAAACACACTGAACTATAAATTCATTTCTTCATCACACACTGTCTGCAGCATCTGCAGGATTTCCATCACTGACCATCCCAACAGCTCATAAAAGTTGATGTTAGTCTGCTGCATGTGGTGACCCGTTTCTCCACTTTGAAACGTTACACATTCTGTGCTCTCCTCAGGTACCTCTTGCACCTGAGAGTCTAATGGCAACCAAACAATTCCAATGTCTACTGGAGGCATTTATATCTCAACATGGACAAGCTTACATGCCATAGTGCTGGTGTATTCTGTTCCAGTTATTTCTGCTACCAATTCCATACTGTTGAAAATAATTCTTGAATGATATAATTATAAAACAGTCATTAGAGTATTATCTTATAGATATGTACTATTACATTTAAATAATTCAACAGCAAAACTTCTTCCTTATCCAAATACAATGTCTCCACTACAGAGTGGGTTTCTAGTCTCACGCTGTCTTAATCTTCTACCTCAGTTTATACATTTCATCTCCCATTAATACATCCATCACTAGGGTAAGCAACCTCAGTATGGGTCATCCTTCTGGCATCTTACCTTTCACTTGTAATTCCAGATATTTATAAAGGAAATGAAGTAGACTGTAAATTAAAGGAGCAAAACATACCAGCCATCATGCTGCAGCTGACTCTAATTCATTACACAGGCCCTTTATGAACTGGACTTCCAGCAGTCCATGCTTTGCATGAAGCAGAGTACTTAAACGAAGTATGTACAGGAATCAAAGTCCTTCCTGACAAGGAAACAGTTGCTAAATAAATTCTCCACCCCATATGAAACCCAAAGATTTATTACTGAGTTTACAAGGGATTGCCATGGGATCATATTCCAAACAAGTTGAAGCCAGTCCACATCCTGTTACATACTACTTCTGTAGCATCCACTTCAATATTATCCTCCTATCCACACGGAGATTTTCCTAGTGGTCTCTTGCCTTCAGGTTTTCCAGCTAAAATTATGTAATCATTTATCATCTTGCAGTGCATGACATATGTTCTGCTGAGCTTATCCTTCTACTATCTTAATGCTACTTACCTTACCTTCACGTTTGAAACGTGCAAATTATATAGCATCTCATTATATAATTTTCTCCATCCTCTTGCTACTACCTCTTTCTTGGGTATAAATTTTCTTTGCATATGAAATTTTCTCCACCATCTTCTTACTTCCTCTCTAGCAAGTTCAAACATCCTTTTTGGAACCTAATTTTCAAGCAGCCCCAGTCTATGACCTCCTTTAGAATCAAGCTCAAAGTTTTAAGCTTTGGTTTGTATATAGGATATTGAAAGATGCAATATTTTAAACTGAAGGGCAAGACACATTCCTTGAATTTAATCTGCTCCTAAATTAATCATGAATGGAAGTTTGCTGTGTTATTCTAATTCCTAAATATATGATCACTGCCATATTTTCCAAGGATTTATTAGCTATAATTATATTATGATTTATGTTGGATTCTGGTGACAAGACCTGTCTGTGTACTTGTAATTCTCTATCTACACTTCTAGACTAAGACCATTATCATTAGCACAAACTTGAAGATGACAAGAACCGTCCAATACAATTTCATTCTGATTTGTGGGGGGGGGGAATATTTTAGTAGCATATTGTGTAATATTTACTCAAGGCAAGAACTGTGAAGAGAGTAGAGCCGTTGCTAGGGACGGCTTTGCAAACATGCCTTTTGCTAGGCAAAAGCTTCATGACACACAACAATGGACTAATTGGGAAGCCGTGTTCTCTATGCAGCCAATGCCAATAGCTACATGATGCAACAACAGAAGAACTGTTGGGAGAGGTGTTTTCTATGAGGTCCATGCTGAGACTACACAAGGAGTCGATTGTGCTTTATTAGTTTGACAGTTGGAAGCCAGTTAGTTCAGCTTGGGGGCTCTAGCTGAAAGGTACCAGCCAGTGAGGGTAGGAGCCATTCAACACAGAGGCTGAGAATACTGCACCATTGGAGGCCACTACTTAGCAGCACGGTGAAGGCTGCAACTGAGAACACCAGTCTGTGTGTGACTGATTTGTAAAGTGTGGTCATGAGTTGTGTTTTACAGTGTCCAACAAATCCGATTACCAATTCAAACTCTGTCTATAGTCACTTTATCACATGATGATATTATAAAGCAAAGTTTACAAGAAACAGAAATAAAGCATATCTTTGTTTTGGACAATTCTAAATAATAAATGTTATCAGACACACATTCAGTTCTGGGGATTTTTCTACAGGTTTCATTCAAACAGATCTTAATTAGAATTACTGGGTTTTTGGACTTTTTCCAGCGTCCCGTATTCTAGAGACTAGAAAACACAACGTTTCACAAACTGGATCTGTTTCTACCCTCAGGTGGGGTGGGGGGGAAGATACCTATTCAGTTGGGTCCCTTAGAGAGAGCTAACCTAAGTCACTGGATGATGTTAGCTCTCTCTAAGGGACCCAAGTGAGTATGTGTCTCCCCCCCCCCTTCACCTGAGGCTGGAAACAGCTCCAGTTTCTGAAACATCCCATTTTCTAGTCCCTAGAATACAGGACGACAGAAGAAGTCCAAAAACCCAGTAATTCTAAATGTTATGCACCATTGTCAGATCTCTTTAGAAATTTTAATTACCTCTATTAATTTCATGGATTCACCAGGTTCAGTAAGAATGTTGTATAGTACTGTGGTGTATTGCCTTTATGCAGGAAGTGTTGAGAGACACAGGCCTCGGGCACACGTGCAACATGAGAGTTGGTGAACACTTGGATGGCGCAACAGGAAGTGCGAGTGACGTCACATACCCCCACTCATTGCATTGCTGTGCAACACTCAGTAAACACGCCTGACAACAATACCTGATATCTGTTGCTGAGCAGCAGTGTGTTGTATTTGGAGTCCATTGCTGGACAATAGGCTGATTTCTGTGTGGTCAGTGCGGAAACTACATAATGAGTGTATTCGTCAGTGTTGAGCCAGTATTAAGTATGAGTTGAAGCCTAGCAGATATGGGTTACAAATTACAAGTAGTTGAAATGTAGCAGCTGCCACACTGAGTGAAGTCTGGAAGTGACTATAGAAGAAGAAGTAACTGGGACAATGAAATTGTGAATTGTGTAAGTGTAAGAGTGAGTGTGCAATAAATTTGCTAAGATCCAAAATGGCCTTAAGTTATTTGTCACGTCACATACAGCAACACGTGACAATATTATCTGCTCAAATCATAGACTTTCTTAAAGCCAGTAAATATCTTATGTATTGTCCAACTCTATCCCTCCCTTTCCCCTCTGTTCTGCATTATATGACAAATGGTTGATGACTGATCAGTAACTGATATATTAAGTTTGAATCGACACAGTGACCACCAATATTTTTGCCTATGTAGAGAGATACCCATTCAAATTGCTGCATTAAGGTCATGAATCCTTTTAATAGACAATTAAATTAATTTTTCACCTATTTAAAATACTGCAACCTTCTGCTTGCATCATTGCATCCACAGAGAATAGTGATTAATTTTATGGGAAGACATATTAATATTCCTTGACGAAATAGATTTTGTATACAATTTTAGGGCAGTCATAGTCAATCCAAAATGAATACTAATACAGCAAAAGTGCAGCAGTCACTGAAAATAATTCAGCACTGAAGAAAGCACCAAAGAACTTACTAACATAACAATGAAAAGTTAATGTTCAAAACACAGCTCAGAATGTTACTTCACATTACGTAATCAAACGTGGTATTTCTAACCATATTTCGGCATACCATTCCCGCTCACCACCTCCACTAATTTCACACTGAAAAATCAGAACTTCCATCATAAATAAATAAGGGAACATGCCTGCACAAGTTCTTCTCGAGAGACTTGCTCTCCAACAATGTCCCTCAGCTGCACTAAACAGCTCTCTAGCCTAGCAGAGTCTTGTGTGAGAGGTAATTCTTCCAAGGAACTGCTGTCTGATGCTTCCACCTCCCGACTATTGATGTGAATGTTAGATGCCATTTCTTCAATATCAGCAAGACTTGAAGAAACTGATGTTGGAGTTTCTGGGCTATGACATTCAGGGAAAGGCAACAGTTTCTCTGTAGTCTGAGATTTTCTAGGTTTCACCCATATTACTAGATCATATATTTCTGCTTGAAGGTTCTGTGGCAGTTCTTCGAAAAGTTCGCTGTCCATGATGTCAGGGTTCAGGGAAATAAAATTCAGGCAAGCACTCTGGAAAAAAAAGAAAATCACAATTCAGACTTATGCAGAATAATTTATGATAATAACAAAGACCAATCTTTGTTCAGAACCATTCACAGAATCATTCAAAAGAACATCTTCACCTGCAGCCTTGGAAACCAGTGCTAGTGGATGAAGTTTGTCCTACGCTTTGTGTATTTATGTGCAGATGGTGTTGTTGAGTCTAATGTTTCAAGTGCTTTGGGGACTGTCATGCATTCTTTCTTACTGTTTTCAATTTGAAGACCTACTTCTTCTCTCCCCAGGTTACCGGAAAAGACTTAAATGCTCCAGAATTGGTGGGTTATGGTACCATCCCAGAATGTGCCTGGAGTGAACCACGAAAACTAGAAACACCAGCTGACACTTGTTTCCAGGCTGAGATTTCCAGAATATGATGAACGTAAATGATCACACTGAAGTCAGTGGGTTACGCTAAAAATATATGCTGACACTCACCCGCAACAATTTGGCATTGAATTGATCACCCATGCTAAGGAAATAAAGCACAGAATCTTCATCTATATGCCTTTTAAGTCCTTGCTCACAAGCTTGCTTAAGTGAGTCAACCTCATACCGGTCACTTAGGAGCATGAGATCAGCCAGTTGATCAACACTCAATTCTTTTGTTTCCAGTTGTCCACTGTACAGATAATTAAGGAATGTTGAGAAGAGAAATGGGCTAGTATCATGAATAACAATTTTCCTGCAAACAGAGAGAAATATTTTAATAAGCATTTCTCTTAATGGAAGTCCAGATGTATTTACATTATTTATGGGAGAATCTAGTTAGATAATTCTCACTTCAGGGGCAGATTTTTATGAATATGAGATACACATGAATCCTGCTATGGTTCAGAGTTCAGATTAGGTTGTAGGTCATCCCTGTTAGCCATCATCAGGCAGGAGCATGAATGTGCCATTTAAATCCACTGAATTCTGACACCATCAGACCTTATACCTGCATGTAATACACATAATTTTGCACGTCAAGTGTGTCAGGGAACACATGACTGATTTTAGTTAGTCTGTCAACATTTTTTGGTACTACAGTATTAAGATTAATTGAACATGGAAGAATTCATAAAAGCATAGAAGGAAGATATGCTCCAACCAATATCTCCACTGCAACCGGTGACTGTAGAAATCATTGCTCTTGTTTTAATATGGCAATAAGGATGTTGGTCCCTGGTTTGAATTTCCTCAAGTTGTATAAACTGATCAAATCCTCCAACACTGATGGATTAATAGAAACTTATAATTTTAAATTGTATGTTTAAATTTAAATTACTCTGAGTTGTTTTACTTTTAAATAACAAGAAACACACACTTTCCAAGCTTATAAATGTAAAATATGTTCTCTAAGTTTATAGTTGAAAAACATGTGCTCATAAACATAACCCCACTGCAACTATGAAAAAAAAACATAGTTATGTAATATCTTTTTATTTTATGAAGTGTTTTCCAAGAATATAATTGAATAAATTGAGATATAGGCCTACATGTATATGTGGCTACCTGTCAATGGCTTCTCTCATGCCAGAGAGAAGCGCACGTCGAAACCAGTCACAACGAGCTGCAACAATGACTCTATGTGCCTGTATGCTGCAAACTTCCTCTCCCTCCTGCTGTCGTTCTGCAGAGGATGGCTCAACTACTTGCCCATGAGTGTGGTCAATCACACAATCTGGAGTTTCTGAAGAAAGTATGAAAATGAAGAGAGCAAAGAGGGAGTTATGAAAAGATAATTTTAAAGCAAGAACAGGAATAATGTTGAATAACTGTACAGATTAGATGAAACACTGGGCAACACTGATATTTTATCTATGACTGCATGCATCTTTCTAACATGCAGAATCCTGATTATCCATGTGCGGATTACAGATACACATGTCTTTTGATTTCCACTTTCTTTTTTTTTTAATCAAAGTTATTCAGATGACAGTTATAATACTAAATATAGAGCTTCAAAATTTCATCTCTTTTGTAATTCATAAAATATTTACCATCATGGAAAATGTTTTAAATGAAAGTTTTAGAACTTATTACAATGCACATTTGTCAAGCTTCCTTTGTTCAGCAAATCAGTAAAGCTGAAATTAATTTTCATGCAGAGTAGGACTTCCACTTGACCAAAATGAATCAAAACTATACTCACTTGACAGTGTTTGGTACCAATGCTAAATTTCATCGCATTCATCCAGAAGGAACAAGAGATAATATATCGGGTGTCCAGATGAAAGGTATTCAAAATAAAAAAATTATATCTCGGAAAGTAAGTGTCATACACATCTCTGGTTTGTGTCATTGGAAAGGAAAACCCTAATTTTTTTTCATGCCTGGCTTATGCGCATGCGCTGTCACATTTCTGCCATCATGTTATGAAGCTCTTGGACAGAGTGATGGCTGGGAGATAAGATTGACAGAAGTGGATCAACTGCTTGGCCTCATAGGTCGCCAAATTTTTTCTTGTGGGGTTATGTGACTACCAGGTTAACATCAATGACATGCAACACCTGATAGCCTGCATAAGGGAGCTGTGGCTATGGTAACACCAAACATGCTGCACTGTCTGGATATTTGTCGTGCCACCGAAGGAACCCACGCTGAAATTTATTGAGAAAGTTATATACTCAGAGAAAACTTTGATAGTTTCCCTTTGTAGTTGTGTAACCCATAAATGTGTATAATAAAAGCTTTCTGAGATATAATAATTTTATTTTGGATACCTTTCATCCAGACATCTGTATTTGACTGGACAGATACACCACCACCATTGTGTTCATTTTATGCAGTTTGTGCAAAAAACATTAACTGTTTCATTATACAATGATAAAATATAGCAGCTTTTTAAAAATGTTGCACCACAGATAGACAGTAAATGCAGAAGTCAAAGTGCATACATGATGTGATCAAATAATTTTTGGACTGTATTCTTCCTTCTGTGATTTATCTTACAAGCTATCGCCTTCAAAGTAGTTAGTTCCCTTGTGACTTCTGGAAGTGAGTCCAGGAACTGTGAAATTGTTTGAACTGCAATGAGGTATCCTGTTCTTTTAACTCAGCAAATGCAGTCTGCAATTGCTCTTGAATCATGATGATGTCATCAAATCTCCTTCCCTTTAGTGTCAACTGAGTTAGAGAAAAAGAAACGCCACATGGGGAATTATGGGTCTCAAAGTTCTCCCTAAAGGTCTTGGAACACATTTACATGTTTCTGCTTTTCCTTATCAGCCATCAGACATGACATGAAATCTGCAGCAATCCAAGGATCAGATTTTGCATCAAGATGCTCTGACATGATCAAAGCAAGATTCCCATCTCACTCACTAAGTCACAAACAGTGATGTGTCCAGTTGCTTGAACAAACTCCTTGATTTATGAGACATTTTCATCTGCTTTGGTTGATGACTGATGTCTTGAACACTCAGCACCATTAACTGATACCACTCCATATGTTAACTAGATAGACAAATCAAATATTTCAGTTCACTTTTTCCTCTCTAAAAGCACATTTTAATATCCTGCATGTTACTGTAGCAGTTTTGCCTGCTGCACACAGGCTGCTGTTTGAAATCTGTCATTTTCTGATACAATGGAACTTGCACAGGACACAACATACAACTTTACATCCATGTGATGCAAGCTACAACTTCAAAATAAACAAACAAATGAGCAGAGCACAGAACAGAAGTTTCGTCCTGTCTGCTGTAGTGTCACAGCTACTGTGGCCAGTCCTGAAATTAACTGATCACACTATGTAGAAAAAGTTCACTTTTGTGGAAAGAACAAAAGGTAACGTTGGTGTTCTTTTATTATAAAGCAGATATACAGCAAGAATGCAAACCTTGTGATGTGACCACTTCGAACACCATATCTGTTGCCTGACCAGAACTGAGCAGCTGAATGGCAGATTTGGATAATAAACTAGTCCGAGACATGGGCGGTACACACAGTGATTCCACCAAGTTCAGCTGAAAACAAACACATACCATGACACATTACTGCATCTGCAACAGGACCTTACATGTTAATTGACATTATTTTATGTTATAATTAACAGCTTGGGATCTGAAGGCAGAATGTGAAAGAAACACTGCTCCTATACATCATACAGTCTATCAGAGTATCAATACATTAATCCTGTATTCAGTTTTCTTTAGGAGAAAGGAAGACAGCATAATTCTGAGCACCACTGCTTAAAACAACAATTTTCAAAGGAGCACTTTATCTTTCTAATTTGACAAACTATCTTGATACAAAGATATATTAATTATCAATTTTCAAAGTACTTACTATGCCAATTATATGTTTTCCACATACCTCAGAATATGGGTAGTATTATTCAATACCTTTTAAAATATTATTTATACCATTATCTTTCTTCCAAATATTTTGATATCTTGATAATATTTACTATCAGTTTATATAATATTATTTTTAACAACTGCTTGTTTTCCATATATACTAATAAAAAGGGAAATATCTCTGTGCTTAATTAGGCACTATGCCATGATGACATAAAGGGGAGTGGAGGAAGAGCTCCACACATTCTTACTATCAGCACTAGATGAAGGTGAGTGTCAGCTTTATGTCCTGAAAACTTTATCCCTAGGTAGCAGCATCCAGTACCCACTAGAGAGGAAGCTAGGTGGGTTATGATAATAAGGAGGAGAGGCAGATCTATCTCATCGGGAATCAAACCCTGAATCCCTAGTTGTCCAACTGTAAGCTAGTAACTAAGCTATCCCAGCTCTCAAATATAATATCTTGACTTTAGTGATTACCACTTTTGTAATATCTTTATATCTACATACTTTTAATCCTTCTCATCTTTCTAAATACATGTGGATACTTCTATTGTTTTCCAGTTTTACAACAAACGTTATCTTAACTGCCCCTGTTGAATCTTACCTTGTATCCGTGCTGTTTTGGCGTGGAGTGGATATGACTTCTACTACTATGATTGTTCTCGCCCGTAGAACCACCATACTGTGCTGGATCAAGCAGTCCCAGAGTGAACAGGGACTGTGTGAAAGCGTCTCTCTGTACAAGGTCACAGAGTTGAACCCACACATCCTGAAGGGTACTGCTGTGGGCCAACAACTTCTGTAGGACCCCTGACTACAAAGAATCACACATCAATATCAGTGAGGAGGCTACTTCAGAGTCTGTTCAAAGAAGTATAATACTAATCAGGGCATGAAGAAATTGTAAAGACTGTTGCCAAAATGTAAAGAACTCATACAGTCAACCATAAAGTTACTTACATATACCAAGAGACCTAGAAAAGTACACTGCAATGATACATATCTATTACTGAAGGTGTAAGTGTACTGTTTGGAAGCTAAACCAAAAATTCTTCTTTGAATTTCAGTTAGTATCAATAATGATAACAACAACAACAATGGATGGAATGAAAGTTGATGATCTTAATGAGCTTTACAATTTATGTCACATACCAAATCTTTTCCACAGTGAGCCATTCTTTAGGAAGATGACGAACTTCTGAGTTTCACATGCAGTTTCTAACATACGTGACTGATATGGAAAAAGATATGGAACTTTTAGTGTAAACTTATAACACCAAATCTTATAAAAGTTCATTCTGTACTTTCACAGACAAAACCTTCATATTATAAATTAACTTCACGAATTTGCACAAATAACATTTAACCATTTGAGAAAGGTACACTTTATGTAACAGTTCTACATCATGTTTGCTAATTCCTATTTATTTATCTCAAGATCAGTAAAACATAAAAAATGAAACTGGCATAAAGGCACTAACCACTTTTGATGTGCCCACTTTGAAGCAGAATTTGAACTCCCGCCACTCCAATTTGTCATCAAGAGCAGCAGTGACTTCTTCCAATCGTAACAGAAAGATTGGTAATTCTTCTATCAGATGCTCCAAGTTCCGTGCTACTGATCGCACTTTATTGGCACTTGTCATGTCATTGAAACTCTCCCTGTGGGAATGACAACTGTATCAGTGACATTCTAAGAGATATCCATGATAAGTATACAGTGGCCATCTTGTAGTGCACTCAATTTCACCTGTTACTTCACAACATGTTTCGGCAACATAGTGCCATCATCAGGTGCCCTAATTACGCTAATCTATTGCATTGCTTGCCTTTATATGTCTTTATAAAATTATTTAAAAAGTATTTATAAAGTGCGTATTTGTCAACTATAATAAATTTACACACACTAAAATTTGTTAAGATTATTCATCTTATGTGTCTTAATTAAAACTTGCGTGTGGTTCTTCCACTGTGGGGGTCATTTTTCTTATATTCTGTGTAAACCGTGTCTTGTGATGTGTGTTCCCTTCTTAGCTTAGTACTTACCATCACCCATCACGACAACGATCATAACAGATCCAGCAACATCAAAGAACACGGAAGAACAGTGAGACCTCGCAAACAAGTGAAAGTGTAACCAATAACATAAGTTGAACTTTAATTCACGAACTTTTAACAATAATAATAATTAAGCTAGTTTAAAAAGAACTAGATATAGTAGTGAGCGTAAGTAAAAAGTGAGACTGAAAAGCAAGTGAAAGTGTAACCAGTGACATGAATTGAACTTCGATTCACGAACTTTTAACTTTTAACAATTAAATTAGAATAATAATAATAATTTTAACCTGTGTTTTATAAAAAGAGCTCGATATATTAGTGAGCGTAAGTCTGAATATGATACAAGGTCGAATGAGTGAAAAGTGAATGTGACCACGTGTAATTATACAGCCGTGTTCATACACCTGAAAATGACCTCTTGAGGTCAAAATATGTAGTGATAATAAAAACGTGTTGTGTAGTCGGTAAATTCATTCTACTATTGATTAAACACACAACAGGATGCAAGAAACGATTAAAACTACAACCATGCTACAGTCTCTGTTGACAATTTGATACTCAGCCAGTAAAATGTCTCACGCTCTTACAGAACTTCATGCATTTCTCATTTTCCTGATATGTGTTACATGTCCTGCTCCTCACAATATTCTTAATCCAATCACCATAAGAATATCAGGTGATCAGGAGACCCATTACAGGTACATCTATCTTAGATTCAAATATCTCAGTCAGCACTTCGTTCTCAAATCCTATGTCAGTATTCATCATTCAAACTGACAGACCAAGTGCCATGTTTACTCCAAAACCTATAAATGGACACAGTACCTTTCAGGATTTCCTAAAAATAACAAAGTAGAAAATTTACATGCTTTATATAACTCACAAAATTTAATCCCTGATCTATTACCCTATATGATTCGTCCACTGCATACACACACACATTTTAGGATACATTTTGTTACAATGCGTACAGAATACAGAAGACACCTTCCACTTACTTCTTCTGCAAAAGATGAATGAGGCTGATAGTTATTCTCTGGTGAAAACTACGCAGTTTGCCAAGCTCTCTTATATGGAGAACCTAGAAATGAAAAGTAAAATAAATTAACTATAAAGGAGAATTGAAAGTTAATTTAAGCTAATTTTACTAAAATCATCATGAAGCTAGCTGGAATTATGAATCAGCATTTATACAACTTGGTGATCTTGTCTGTCATTGTCATTACCTGAAATATGTATGATATAACAATAATAATACATCTGTAATTTTTTATTTATAATTAAAATGTCTCAAATAAAATATGTAAGCATGCCTACAATTTATCTCTAGACCTATTTTCATATGCTTAGATGCAATAGCTCATTTAGTACTGCTATGAATGTGAGAGCTAAAAACAGATGGCATCCTGCCAACACTTTATTTTACAGTCTATAAAAACTGACTTTAAAAAAGCTGCATATATTTCGAAGATATATTATGACAAAAATCTCATGGTCACCTTTTAAGTGCCTTCCCACTTCAGAAGTTTGAATTGTTTCAATATATGTATTACTGAAGGTAGGGAATTATAAATTTTGCAACTGTCAGATACTGGATAAATAATGGGAGTACAATGAGACACTACATCAGCTATTTGTAGATTTCAAGAACCACTATGATTCAGTTAGGAGGGAAGCATTGTACAATACTCTCATGGAGTTTGGGGTAAATTAGTTAGGCTGATTAAAATGTGTTTAAATTAAACTTAGAGTGAAGTCCATATAGCTAAACATTTGTCTGATAATTTTCCTAACCATGGTCTAAAACAAGTAGATGCTTTATTGCCACTGATTTTCAACTTTGCTTTAGAATATGCCATTATGAAGGTACATGAAAATCAGGTACCGTCTATCACTGTTAGTAAAAAACTCTTGCAGAGAATAAAAACAGTTCTGTAATAAATAACTTTTCAATTTATTTTTAAAAACCTTAAAATTTTATATTCTTTTTAGTTTGAAGGGTAAGTTGTTATGTATTTTTATTCCCATGTTAATTACATTTTTTGGCAATGAGCAGTGTTGCATAATTGGACATACAAATCCCGTTTCCCTTTTGTGTTATACTTATGAATATCGGAATGCTGAGTTGTATAGATCTTATTCCTTCTCATAAAGCAGCAGATGACCCTTAATAAGTCTTTGACCATTTTTCTGTATTTTAAGTACTGCATTAACCCCCCCCCAATTATACATATTTTAGTATAGATTCGAATTTTGTAAAATAAACATTTCTTAATACAGATATACTTACTGAGTGATGTAAGGATTTAATCAAATAAAGAGTTTTGTCTAATTTTTGACAAAGCCACTGTATATGAGTGATCCAGCTTAAGTTTTCTGTGATATAAAACACCTAAAAATTTTTAATTTGATGAATAAGTTATTTCTTTATTATTTAAATACAGAATGGGTCTATGAATTAAACTGGATCCTCTCCCCTGAAACAGTACTGCTTTGGTGTTTCCCATACTTATTATAAGATTATTTGTTAAGGACCAATTGCTGGACTTGTAAGAACAATGACATAGTTACAGTTATTTATAGACAACGTTTCTGATCATATAATTTTGACATACACAGTGTGTCCAGGTTCTGTTAGGACTGTTTTCATTAAAAATACAAGATGTGAATTATTTTCAAAATTTCACTCGTTTTATTCAAAACAGTCTCCTTCTGAATCAATACATAGCTGGAACCGATTGAAAAGTTTTCGAAAACAGTCACTGTACTCCTTTTGTGGAATCGCATTTAAAACTGCGGTAGATTCCCTTTGGGTGTCCTGGATGGTGTCGTGACGGTCTCCTTTCATCGCCAACTTAACTTTTGAGAACAACCAGAAATCTGCTGGAGCCAAATCTGGCAAATATGCAGGATGATCAAGGACTGTGATCCCTTTTCCGGCCAAAAAATTGTGCACAATCTTCGATTTGTGGGGAGGGGCATTGTCGTGGAGGAGCGACTAAGAACCTTGCTCTCGATATTCAGGTTGAGTTCGAAGAATTCTCGCCCACAAACGATTGAGGACTGTGAGATAATAAACAGAAATGACTGTTTGAACTTCTGGCAGAAATTCCTTGTGAATGATTCCTTTGGAATTGAAGAAAATGGTTAGCAATGTCTTTACTTGACTCTTTTCCAAGCGCACTTTCTTTGGTTTCGGCTACTTTGGGCTCAACCACGCTGCACTCTGCCGCTTTGTGAGAGGCTCATATTGAAAACACTATGTCTCATCATCAGTAGCAATCGATTTTGTAAATTTTGTATCACTTTGTGCCGACAGTAACATGTCTTTGCAGTGTTCCACTCTAAGCATGTTTTTCATCACCTGACAGTGCATGCGGTACAAACCACACACAGACCTTACGTTTGCCCAAATTCTCAGTCAAAATTTGATGCACAGTACTTTTTGGTATTCTCAGAAGCTCCTCAATGAGTCTTGTAGAAACACATCTGTCTGATGCAAGGGTTTCGGTCACTTTTTTCACATTTTCTTCAGTGGGACTTGTTCTCAGCTTTAATGCACATGGAGCATGTTCAATGTCCTCCTTACTGTCATGAAATACAGCCTACCATCATAAAATGTTCGAGCGACTCAAACAATCACTACCATACACACTTTTCATCATTTCGTACGCTTCTCTGGTTGTTTTGCTTAACTTCAAACAAAATCTGATGGTGGCTCTCTGTTCAACCACCATTTTCCGATGAGCATTGGAACAGTACTGTTACATTCAAGGTCAGAACACATGATGCAGCAATGTTTGCGCTTTGAAATTATAGACAGCCACAGCTAAAACTTAAAAAATCTTAATGCCACAACTCGCTAACAGATGGCATTGCAGGGCAAAATTTAAAAAAAATTAGTCCTAATGGATCCTGGACACACCGTGTACAACATTTAGGTTTGAATGTCAATCTTCTCCATTATTCACATCTATATTCTGAGTCTGAAAACGTCTCTTCTGTTCACAACCTGAAGATGTACCGGACCACTACAAACATACAGTTCCACATGTGACAAAATTATCACACATAGAGTAACTTACATTCTTTAGGGACTTGCCAAGAATGTCTCCCAAATTTCCCTTCTGGCTCCTGCAACCTTCTGAAGGGGAAAGAGCCAGTATTATCTGTTCCAAGGCTGACTTTATTTCTACAACGAGAGCTGACACAGTATCCAGTATAGTCTCAATCTGTAATATATGAACACAATACAGTAAAATCTCTATTCAGCATTCTGTATTTAGTGAAATAACTTATCTCATGATTATTTTTCTGTTCCTAGCCAAAGTCTAATGATTTATTAAATAACCCACATTTAGTATAAGAAGTTTTTGACCTTCCAGAATTTGTACTTCAATTTAGATGAGACTGCAGTCAAAGCTACAATTGATGTCGAATTGTCTCTCTGCCAGAAATTGTTACAGTACAACCATGATATCTGGCAACTGTCCCATACAAAACTACCATGGCACTCTGCTGCTGTGGAATTATAGTTGTCTGATTCTCACTTGTGGCTCTTTCAGTGTTTACTTCATATATCATTAATTACTTTAGAAATTAAGTTGTTTTTACTGCTTACATAATTATCTTTACTTGCATATAAAACCAATTTCTTTACTAATTATGTACAGAGATTATTTTATTATAAATATATAAGACGTGTCTTGTAAGATGAACATTTTCTTGATGCAATTTCACAGAATCCCCATTTAGTGGAAACCTCAGTTTAGTGTATGAAAAGCCATTCTCCCAAACTTTTCATTAAAGAGGTATTTCACCATACATGCTAATGCAATCTATTTTCCTGTCCAGTTGAGAGTTACTCAGCTGGCTGATATTCCTTGCATTTAAAGGACATAAAGGTTCATTATATGTACATAAAAACTATCCCTGTAAAGTAAAAGCTGTCACTGTGCTTAATTAATTAAGTACCATGCCATGAAGACATGAGGGAGTGGATGTATAGCTCCAATATTCCTGACATTGGCACTAGATCAAGGTGAGTGGTCAGCTTTATGCCCCAGCTACTTTATCCCTTGGGAAAAAGCCACCCATAACCAATTCGATAAGAGGCAGGGTGGGCCCCTGAGTCACTCTGATCACTGTGGAGAAAAGTAAGATATCTTGCACCTGGCAGAAGTCACACCCAGGCCATCCAGTCTGTAACCCATTGCTATAATGACTGAGCTATCATGGTTATCAAAAAAAAACTACCCCATATGTTATCTTATGCTACATTAGTTTAGTTCACATATTCACCGCCTATTTCTTTATATTCTTTTCAATGCCATCTTTCCATCTATATCTGAGACAGAACATTGTGGCATGGATGTCACTATCCAATGACATCACAAGTGTGAGTCACCTTATGGCAAAGCTTAGCTGTTCTCTCTGCCTTCCCCTAAGTCTGTACCTCTTAGTATGGGGTATTAGTGTTCACTATATTTCTACTATCTTGTGTGTATTTTCTCTCCTTGTTCTCTCCAACTTGTCCTTGAGCTTCCAAATGGTTGTTTGACATCCTTCACTTTTATGCTCTAACTGGAATCGTTTTATTATTTAAGCCTAATGTGTGTGCATGCATGTGTATGTGCTACCATATTCTCAATCTGACCAACTTGTTCTATGCCTTCAGGTGTTGCCTGATGCCTGGGTTTCAAAACTTAACCTTACCTGTATATTTCTTAACACTACTTACAACTTATACACATTCATTTCTGTCTTAAATGCAACTTTACTTGCAATTAAAAATTAACCATTACAAATTGCTACATGTTTTGGCCATACTCAGCGATTTACAGGCAACTGTTCAACTTGTCAAAATTGCTACACTGTATTTTCAATGTAACTAAAATGAATTATTTCGTAAGTTAAAATTTTTCAAATATTCTCCATCCTTTGTCATCCACTCAATAATAAACATTTGTTGAAGAACATCACTCATTACATTTTCATGCACTGCCTTCCTTCCTCAGCATCAGTATTTTCTGTGATCCAATATTGCTGGTGAAATTGAAAATAGTTTTGTTCTATCACTGTTTGCAATATATATAATATTTCTTTCTGGATATTCATGGTAATATCTGGGTTGTTTTCTAGTACATTGTTAATTATGTGTATATTGCCGTTTTTTTGTATATTGTAGCTGTCCGCCGACGTACAGCTGCCACGACTGTCGCTCGAGCTTGAGTTCCTAACCACAGGATACGGGTGCTTTGGAGATGGGAGTGGAACACACTTCGGGGTAAATAAATCCGGGATTTCCAGAACACACCGTGGATTGCAGTTTTAATTTAAAATTTCATTAATGATGAATATTGACATTATTCTCCAAGCTAGCCGCTCCACCCGCCGACTAGCTACCACTACTCTTGAACACCTCTCTCTTCTCTATCTACATTCCAACTACTGTCCTCCTTCGCTCCCTATAACCGACCCCCATCTTCACAAGTCCCCCAGTTGGCATCAGAAAAACAAGAAAATAACAAGAGAAATCCAAGGGTCGAGCCTGACATCTGGCCTACATTTGTATTTTTCGAGATGCCCATAAACCTCTGTAGGTCTTCAAGGAATCCAAGACCCCTCCTGGCCAGTCTCGCACACGGTCAGTTCATGGGTTTATGATATACTGGGAGTAAACAGGCGACGTTAGGGACAACAGCGGCACCCTTAGCCTAAGGAGGACAATAGCAGAATTACAACTAGACGGTCCCGGGATGGTATCTCGCCGATGGAGCGTCTCTCACGGTATTAAAGAATGCATAAGTAGTTCATACCCTTAATTATATAATTTTGACGAGGGGCGTACGGTTACAATATTAGTGTACATGTTGCATAACCTCATTCCATTGTTGCATGCGTGTATCACAGGGTGCTTATTGTACCGTTGCTTGGCAGTGTGTTGACATGTCGCAATATGTTATAAATTGATTCTAAAGGCAGCGAAGCTACCTGCCAATCTGTGCGTACTGCTACCGTTCCTTGTTCTGGCTTTTCCAATTTGTCCATCAGTCAGCATCACTGTCCATCTTTCCTGACAAAACCACTAAAAGAGTGCTGATTGCTATCTTCATTCTCTGTGTTGCACATCTATTGCTACATCCCTGGTCTTCCGCCACAGAGAACACCTTATCACATTTTGTTTTTGATCTTCAAATTTGTGAATAATGCACAAGTAGTCAACTCATGGATTGAACATGTAAACATACAACACCATCACCAAAACATTTTCAGCTCTGTTCACATGACATTATACACAGTGAAACAAGCTACTGGAGTGAGAAGTTCAGATATCCCATGATGAACATTCCTCACTGGTTGAAATGTGGAAGGGACTCAACCCTGAAGACATTAAGTCATGCTAAATGTATTTTTGAAATGTTGTAATTGGCTCTGTACATGTGCATGGAGCACTTCTGCGTCACAACTGAGCAAATTCTGTATTGAGACAAATAATCAGATTCTATTGACTTTCCCCTCCTAGACAAGGAAGAGATCCAGACAAGGGATTAATGGTATTGTGGGATTTGTTGATACTCCAATAGACAATAGACTTTGGAAAGTTTGTGGACCCTGAAAGGGGCCATCTGTTCATTGATAGCAGGCCTGTCTGAAAGACCGGTGATGTAGGGCTGTGTGCACCGGTAGAAATAGACGTTGGCTACGGTGTGTTGGCTAATGTTGCGGCAGCTGAGTCAGTCGTCTGGTCGCAGTGTGGCAGTTGCCAGAAGTTGCCTGGTCGCGGAGTGTGGTTGCTGAGTTAGTTGTCTGGTCACAGTGCGGAAGTTCCCGGGGGTGCCTGGTCGCAGAGCATGGTTGCTAGAAGTTGCCTGGTCGCAGTGCGGCAGTTGCCGGAAGTTACCTCGTTGCAGAACATGGTTGCTGGAAGACCTATGGTTGCGGAGCGTGGTTGCTGGAAGACCTATGGATGCGGAGTGTGGTCGCTGGAGTGGTGGCAGCTGTGCCAGTTGCCTGGTGTGTTGGGCATGACCGCCAGAGAGCCAAGGCAGCCATCCATGACGCAGTGAAAAACCAACGACTCTGAAGACCAATCACTCTGGACTAGGCAACCTCCGGCAACTGTCACACTGTGACCAGCCAACTAACTCAGCTGCTGCAACACTAGCCAACATCTATTTCTACAGGTGCATGCAGCCCTACATCACTGGTCTTTCAGACAGGCCTGCTATCAATGAACAAACAGCCCTTTCCAGGGCCCACAAACTTTCCGAAGTGGTTGTCTATTGGAGCATCGACAAATCCCCCATTGGTGACCTCGACGTGATGAATTGGTGGATGTGTTGCTCCTCTGAGGGGGTCAGCTGCCCCTTGAGCTAGGCCCTGAGCGTGGTGTAGGGGTTATGTTCGGGTGGCGCCGTGATGATGTCCGCAATGCTTGCTGCATAACGTTGGTCCAGCTGCGAGATTGTGTAATAAAATTTGTTTTTTTCGTCTCTGATGTTGGCCAATGAAAACCGTGCCTCAGCCTGGGCGAACCATACAGCAGGCTGCTCGGCCCAGAAAGGCTGGAGCCACACAGTCACTCTCGGGGCCTCAGTTGGTGTTGTGCTGTCAATGGTCGCCATACTTTATTGGCGTCACCAATGTGAACATTAATAATGAATCCACAGTATCTTTAGAGACTGACTGCTATAAATAACTTGGAAAGCAAAACTGCAAGTGCAAAAAGTTGTGGGAAAAAGTTGCAGCTAATTAAGAATCACTCATATCAATGAAACAGGCCTAAAGAGAACCTCATTTCATGAAAAAGCTATCCCTGTAAGAGGCCATGAAGTCCTATAGGGTTGTGAGAGGTCTAGGCTCCCTCATTTTTCTAGACAATCAGCTCTTAGATGGCGGTTAGGTTGTCAGCCTTATGCGCTGGCAGCCCGTTACCTCCAGGAAGATTTCTGGTACTTATTCCTGTTGGAAGCTGAGTCGAGCCCAGGGGCATAGTGTGGCTGGAAGGATTAGGTCAACTGAAAAATATCAAACTCATTGGGACTAGAACACACAACCTTCCAGCTTGTAGCATAGTGTTTCAACCAACTATGCTACCGTGTGCACCAAAGTCATGAAAGGAAAAAATAATGTTTATTTTGCCCCATTTCATGAGACTTTCTGTACACATGTAGTGTTAAGATCACAATGGTGCTGATGGTTTTATCACTACAATAGAGTTCTCATTATTATATGCACTCATTCTACCACAATCACACTGGACTTACCTCTGGCACAAGGTATGTTGCGACTTCTTGTCTCTGACTAGGGGACATGCTGCTGAAGGTAGACTTCACTCCCTGAAGGAACCTATGTAGTTGACTCATGAAAATAGGTAGCCGAGACTTGGCATAGCGAATTATCTCATGACGTTCTTCACGTGACAATTCAGTCTTGCGTTTCGTGAATAAGTCACACAGCAGCAACAATTTCACTCCAGCTGAAAAAATAACATGAAACATCAGCATGTAATGTGCATTGCTACATGTAAAGATATTTGATTTTCTCTGAGCTACACGTGAAACTTAGTACAAACATTCGGAGCTTATGGGCAAATTATTTTTATGTTGAGAGCATTATATGGCAAAGCACATGATATTTTTGCTATTTTAAGCCTAACTAAACAATTAACCATATAACAAAACAGTTACATGTACTTTCAGCATAACAATGCACCACAAGACAATACAAAGTGTATATATTTTTTAACATGTGAAGACATTGTAAGTTTTGAGGTTTTCACGGCGATGACTATGAAGAAAGTCGTATTCTGGGTTTTGACACCGTGTAGTCTTCGTTTTCGCCGACGTTTTGGAGGAACGTTGGCCAAAACGAAGAATACACGGCGCCAAAACCCAGAAGATGACTTTCTTCATGTGAAGACATGTTTATAGAAATCATTTGTAGGCCGCAGTACTCAAATCTTGCACGTTATGCAACTGACAAAATATTCAGCTACTGTCACATAAAAACACGTAAACATGTTCGAATATTGTGTAACATCTCTTTCAAGGGCTGCTATAGAATCACTGTCAGTGTGATGTTTTTAAAGATAAAATTTTACAATTCTTCACAATATACTCCAGCTGGTGGACAATGTCCAACATAACTGTGGAGTGACTATCATGAAACTCTAACTCTACATAATGTTAAGCATGGCAGGGAATATTTAATCTTATTATATCTACTACCCTTGTCAGACATCTAAGGATCCTACTGCAGACAAAGTATGGAGCACTGCAGGCCAAAATCAATTTTGTCTCAAGAATGCAAAATAACTTATTACTGACTGTCCACAGAATGTCATTTTCATCACTTCCGTCTTGTTGTTGTTGTTGTTGTTGTTGTCGTCATTTTTGTTATTTCAGTAAACTCTCGATTACCCATGGTAATGGAGGCGAGAAATAGTGTGAATAATTAAAAATAACCGATAATAAAAAAGAAATGAAAATACCCACTATACATACTGCACTCAACCCTGGAAAGCACTTACTTATTACACACTAGTTGTGCTGCTGATCACTAAACACTGAGACAAGTATCTTTCTAATAGTTCAGTAGTAGGCTGACGAGAAAAGCAATAAGACAACAAAAAAGAAAGTTGCATTGGGGGAGGGGGGAGAAAGTGTACGGTATACTGAAAATCATTGTAAAACATCAGTGATACATATTATTATAACAGATGTAACAGGAAAACATTTAAATCATTATGGGAAGCTGTTAATCAATAAGTAAGAAGGTCTCAAATTTCCACAGTTAATCTACATGTGGGTAATTTGAGTCTACTTAATAACTGCCAGTGTCATCAACTCCATCATTGCACACTACAAATTTCCCTTCCTTCTTGTAATAGTCACTTACTGATTGTTAATATGAATTTATTACTTTATATTTTATATATTTTAATGCAATTTTCTGCTTTTGCAACTGAAATATAATGTATTCAGCAAGAAATTTGGTACTGAGCTCATTTAAATGAAGAAATGAAAACACAATTCTGACAAGAATCCTTAAAATACAAAAGAAAATCCTGGGAGGAGGGATATCACATGGATTTTAGAACCTTGCAAAAGGGCTAATGAGACAGTAGGTAAACCAATTTGAGCATGAAAATCTCTGAACAGAACATTACTTCTATAAACACCCACCTACTGCAGCTTCCCTCACCGACTGCTTCACAACAAAACAGAGTTTGGCAGGATTGGAATTGAGGCTGTCTGCAGAATGTTCACCAGGAGACATTTTTGTGCTGAAGTGCTCTATAATCTGGCTGGCACATGCATGCATATCTGACACAAAGCCAATAATTTCTGAAACAGACACACAATGCCAATACTCTAAATTATCTGAGTCTAAAGATCTGTGACAGTGGTCAATTCATTTCACTACAGTTACATTATCTGAAATATATTTTACATACATAACATTTCAGAACTTGCTTCTGCTACCATATTCAGGTGACAAGTTGCCGCACTGAAATATATGATTTCTTTTCTTCCATTAGCCTGCATTCTTTACATTTTTAAGGAAAGACTACAGCACTGTCACATTCATTTGCATGTATGCTCCCCATAAAGAACATTTCAACCAGTTCATGGAATTTCATTAAAATTTATATAGCATGCAGAGGCCACTCTATGTCTGTACTTCATAATTTCCTATCATACTTTATACCAACATGGCTGATGTCAGAAATTCTTAAGATGTAAAGAAATATGCAACTTTTGCAACAAAAAGAAGTTTTTGTACAATTCAGAACAATTATGGGCTGCCATATAAAATCAGCACTCCCCCCCCATAGTAGGGGGTGGAATTCAGCTGGGTCCACTCGGCACATCTGCCATTTATTGGACTATTGTACCTGGTGATTATGATGATGGACTGAAGATTCGCAGGGGAAACCAAAGTACTCGGAGAAAACCTGCCCAAGCGCCACTTTATCCACCACAAATCCCACTCAACCAGACCCAGGCTCGAACCCGGGCCACTGCAGGGGGAAGCCAGCAACTAACCGCTTGAGCTATGGTGCAGCCATAAATCAACACTTCATTCCCAGTTTGGTGAACATTAATACACCACTAGAGCTAGTCACATGAACTTCTGTAAGGACAACTGGACAAAGTGCACTACAAAGCAGAGAGCAGATACACCTGCAACCTCTGATACTAATTTTGATTGTGGGAAAATAATAAATGCGGGAACTTTCTGAATCACCTTCACACCTGAAGTCTGCATTAAACAAAATTATGCATAGTGAATCATTAATCATGTAACTATTACTTTACACTCCCTAACATCCTGGCAGGCTACAGTGTGAGCAGTAAAGCTAGTTACTGCACCCTTTTCACGTTCATATGACAATAACTGACAAAGCTTTGCAGCTTCCCTGCTGTCACTCGTGACCTTCCTCCCTCTGCTCCGGTCCCTCTTTCTACACTATGGTTATCAGCTCATGCACCATTACCACTCCTTTTGCACATTTTCATGTAGGGAGTAGATCAACTGCTTTGATTATAGTGCTTAGAATATACATTTGGTACGCAAAGGGTCTGAGGTTTGATTTCGGTGGCTGCCACTAATACTGGAAGTCTCTGTGTGTTCATGGATGTGCATGAGTGTGTGTATACTGACAACCTATCACATAAAGGTGGAAGCAAAGCTATCTCCCAAAATGTCATGTATGCTAAATACATCTCAGACAGTGTATAATATAACTGCAATGAAATGATTCTCCATGGACTGGTCTAACACATCAAATCTGACACATAAATCCATCAAAATGAATGTGAAGTCCAGCCTTTTCTGTTGAAGACATAAGTTTTAAGAATCATATTTATTATATGCCTTTAAATATTGATATTCCCTTACATGCAAATGAATAGTGTATCTATAGATATCATATTGTGTAGTCCACGTACTGACTGATGAAGGGAAAGGGCAAATGCTGCTCTCTGTACCATATCAGAAACTTATGGCCACCAGAATTTAATGCAGGATAAGTATCACTAAAGTTTCTGATAGTGAGTCTAAATGTGCTGGTTACATCAGAGACAATTCAGAAACTTCAGAGACTACTATTCTCCAGTTCTAGAACAGTGAATTCAAAGAACTGTAAACAATTTATAAAACTAAATTAAAATATGCTACAATAAAGCTTATGTCCACTTTCAAGTATCATGTAATTGACAGCAAATAACCTAAAATAGCAGTCAATGAAGTAGCTAGTTACAGGTTGGATCACAAAAATTCAGTTCCCAGCTAGAATACAGATTTTACTCTTTGCTACCACATTCAAACCAGCAAACCAGCTCTAGGTCCACGCATCCTCCTATCCACTGTCACGTTTCTACTGGGTGTTATTGCCCTAGGATGAAGTGGCTGAAGACTTACCTCCATCTAATTCCAAGATCTAGAGTATATGGATATTTCCTTCGATGCCACAATACACCATCATGGATCATGCTTTTAGGCACAGGGGCACATTACCATAAACAATAATGAGTAAACATTTTATCAAATTTATATTTAACACTTCAATGTGGGACTACCTTCTCTGCACATCTTTAACTAGCAAAGGCAGAGCCACACGTCTTCTGACAAATCACTCACCCTCACTTTTCACTGTGAAATGAAAAGATATCGATATACAATATCAATATCCTGTTACTTTTCCTTAACAATATGTACAGTTTAATACTGAAAAAGTTTAAGCAGCCCCTTTGCCAAAGTACCATGCCATGAAAGTGTATCAGGTCAACATAATCTTCACCTCCATACTACGTAAGTGAAGCTGTGCAGTCAACTGCACATTCTGCCCACTTCATCTTTGGAAGAAGCGCCCCCCCTCCAATTGGAATTGGATATGAACCTGAATGGGCCACAGAGCTGGTGTGGTTGTTATGATGAGAACTACACTCTGCTCTCCATACTAAAACCATAGCCATAGCTGAGTTCATGAGCGAATTGTAAAATAAACATAATTTATGTCAATTCTGGTCAATTGTGGTTCTCACTCCAAGGGAAAGATAGAAGGTATGTAAGAAGTGGTGAAGAGAATATGTGGGCCTGTGAAACAGGCTGGACAAATTTGACATTATGAAGAGTTCTGTAATTTATAAACAGGTACCTGGAAAAGCTTTGAGTTACAGGTCATCTAACAATATTTTCAGTACAGAAATTGGGTTCTTTTATGAATTCATACCCTCATTCTAAGCAACATTCTACCCTCGTGAACCAATATTGGAAGTAATGTTATACTTATGCCCCAGACTACTCAGGGCTTGAAAAATGTATCACCTTGCTGGAAACAAGAAGCTGCTGCATGTCAGGTCTGGAGAATGGACTGAATAGGTAACTGTAATGGACATTTGTGAATGAAAGTGAATGTGGCATATGCTGTGTCTGAAAAATCAGTCCTTCAAGAACAGGACTGTTCTTGATGGCATCTCTTGAAGCATCTGTATCAATGGATCAATATTTTATGGAGGAATTCTTGATACTGAACGATGCATTAATGAAATACTCAATCCATTTTTCATTAATTTTGCACCTGCAGAAGAAAGATTCAGTTATTTTATGCAAGATGGCGCAACTCCAGACACAGCTAAGGAAACTATCCGAGCATTACGCAATGTGTTTGGAGAATTAAATGGGGACAATAAAATTATTAGCAAGGGTTTGTGGCCCCCTAGATCCCCAGATCTAAACCCCTGTGATTTTTGTTTATGGGGAAAACTAAAAAATGCTGTGTATGCCAACATTCCACATGACCTGGAGGCTCTGAAACAGAATATTTCTGACGCAATTTACAACATTCAGGAACGTGAATTGCAACAAGTTTCCCGAAATCTGTTTAAAAGAATTCGGGCATGTCTCACAGCAGAGGGAAGACATTCTGAACATCTTCTATGATGGTGAGTACAATATTAATTGCTGTATCTGATTAACAATTAACAGAAGAAGTAAACAGTGTGTGCTACTGGTTCTGAACAGCCGCAGGCATTTTTCTCAGCAGGTGCTGCATCGCTTTCACAGGAAGGTGCCAAAGGCAAAATCAGTGTCCAATCAGCCTGTGCTCTGAACATGGTGTATAAAATATATATAAACTTCCAGCTTTGAATACATTATACAATACAGTATACATTCATCATTCATGTTCACATTAAAAATACAGTTCATGTAAACATATATTTTGTATATTACTGTAAATGTTATACTGTATACTGTTACTGTAAATGACATTTTTTCGTTGTTGCATGTGACAGAAATTTATCCTCAATGCCCAGTACAACACACAATGACAGGATGCTTCAATACAGAATTATGACGAGGTTAATTTGTATCTTTTCTTAATTCTCCACTGAAACATAAAACAAATAATTTATATAAAAATATTAATATTTATTTAAAGTAACTTATTTTATATTACATTAACTCATAAGCTATGATCTGATGAAGTACTTCCCACAAACCACTGATGGGTTGCACACCCAGTATGAAAAAAAAATTCCATGAAAACAGGATAATATTGAAATAGATCACAGAGAAACAGGGTATATGAGAATGCGGTGTACTCAACTGGCTCAGGAAATAACCTAAATATGAGCCTTTGTGAACACAGTAATGAACTTCAGGTTCTATAAAAGCAGATAAGTTCTTGATCAGCTGAGTAACCATCAACTTTGCAAGGAATGCCTGCACTACAGAATGAGTTCTTTGTGAAACAAACATAAAAAAGGCAGCATAAAATTCTTAAACATACGTTGTTTCAGGGCCATGTTTTTCAAATACAGCTCACACATCTGAACTAGTCTCTCCAAACCAGGAAGGCTTGTTGCTGCTGCAATGCAGTGTCGTGCCGTTTGTTCCCCAAGATTTGCTGGTAGACATTCTGCATACAGAAAGTGAAGGATTGTCCCAAGAACATCTTCAGACAGTCCCGAGAGAGGAGGAGGTTGATGACTCCAATCCAACTCTGGAGCACTCAAGCGGAGAATGCATGTATGCACTGGAAACTGAAATGAAGAGGATCATTACAATTGGTCTTCTGACATGTTACGTTAATTCCCTAAATACTGTGTATATTAGCATACAAGATGACCCTTTACACTTAAATAATCCATAAAAAAAAGTTGCAATCTTATATGTGAAGTATTAAATGTGAAACTTAAATTTTAAATACTATTTGACACTTAACGGGGCACACGGTAATGTAGTTGGTTGAGGCACTATACTAAAAGCGGGAAGGTCGTGAGTTTGAGTTCCAGTGAGGTGGATTTTTTTTCAATTTACTTAATCCTTCCAGCCATACCATGGCCCTGGGGTCGACTCAGCCTCTAACAGAAATGAGTACCAGGAATCTTCTTGAGGGGGTAAAAGCAGCTGGCACATAAGGGTGACAACCTTACTGCCATCTGTGAGCCGATGGTCTACAGAAAATGTGAGAGCCTTGACATCTCACAACCCTATGGGTCTTCACGACACATTACAGGGATAGCTTTACCTTTACCTTTATTCGACATTTAACAACTGCTATGCATCATTTAAGACACACTATAATTATTTCTGGTTGAAACTCACAGCTGACATATGAGTATGTAATTAACACAGACACTTCAATAAAATATGTGTGAGGGGACAGCATGACTACAATTACCATAAATGCCAAGTTGTTGGGATGAACTCGACGACACATGACCTTTGCAACATCTGATGTAGTGAAAAGACCAGAGTCAGACTGCAAGCTAGATGGCAACCAGTGTGGGGGATTAACATCATTGATACAATATTCAAGCCTTTCAAGGACCATATCCCTGCACTGTGTAATAGTGAATGCTTACAAATGAGAAGTCATTCACAAAAGGTAGCATTATTTATGCTGCTGGGATGGATTATCAAAGCCCAGAATGATGTAACTGTAAAAATTGTCATCAGATCTTTCTGAAGTAAAGTTGTTCCTGTGCTTAACTAATTAAGCACTACACCATGAAGACATATGGGGGAGTGGATGTATAGATCCACATTTTCTTGACCTCAGCACTAGTTGGAGGTGAGTGGCCAGCTTCACGCCCCAGCCGCTTTACCCCCAGGAAAGAGCTCCCAGTACCCACTGTATAGGAGGTTGGGTAGACCCCAGAGCCGGTCTGGACAACACACAGAAGTGAAAATTCTTGACCCCACCAGGACTCAAACTCTGACCCCTCGGTCATCCAGCCAATAGCTAGCTGCTATACTGACTGCACTATCCCAGCTCTTTTTTTTTTTTTTTTTCAAAAAGTATGGCATACTGAATTCAATGGATGGTACACAGGGCAATTTGTTATGACAAAATGGGGAGGAAGCTGAGGTCAAAGCCCCATCAAATGATTCAGTCACATCCATATATGGTTCACAGGCAAGTATATATCAGGGTATACTGAATGAACATATAATGTCAGATGTTGATGAAGAGGATTTTGCAGAACACATATAAATCTTAGTTTAAAAATAATCCACAGTCATCTTATCTGGTAAATATTTAAGTAGCAAGAAGTACTTCAATGCCAGTGATATTTCTGACATTTTACAGAACAAAAAATTAATAGAAAAACCTGCAAATTTTGATAAGGATGAACTGCTGAACACAGATGATAGCAATGAAGGTGATTTCCTTGATAAGGAAAATTATGTGTTGTTACCTGACAGTGGAAATAATGATGGTGATGAGTGTTTGTATGAATGCCACAATTTTCTGTGGGAGGATACGAATGGGAACAGCAATTAGCTACGGACTGGATGGCTGAGGTGTAAAGGCTCCTCTTCTTTCATAGCCATCTAGACCAGTTTTGGGGCCCACCCAGCCTCCTATCGAATTGGTACTGAGGGCTTTTCTATGGTGGTAAAGTGGCTGAGGTATGAAGCTGACCACTCATTTCCAACCAGTGACTAGGTTGAGAGTAGGTGGATTTATACATCCATTACAGTGGACTAGCAGACGTTTTTACTGGAATGTGTGGACCTCAAAATAGTGCAAGATGTGACTGACCTTGTAGATATATTTGAATTTTTTTTATAAGGTTCTGGTATAGAATATTGTGGATAAGGCCAATTAAAAATTTCTTGAGGCAATATTTCTTCAGGCAGTCCACAGTAAATGACAGACAGCCCATGACAGCAGAAGAAATACACTGTGGCATATTTGCTCAAAGCAAGAACAGTGGAGCCAGAGAAACAGCCACTGCTAGTAACAACTGTGTAACACACAACAGTGGAGTAATTGTTGGAAGGAGGAGGAGTTACACAAGCAAAAACTGCCTTCCAGCCATAAAATGTTACCCAAATAACTACTTCTGTTACACATTCTCTTTCTTGAGCAGATGACAGTTATTCTTCACCCATGAAAACATTTCCTCCTATAGTAGCTGAAAGTTCACCACTTCCATTACTGCTCCCTACTCTGAGCCACTCGCTTCACTTCAAATCTTCACAACTTATCTCTTTAAGATCCATTTTAATATTATTCTGCCATCTACGCCTAGTCTTCCAAGTGGTGTGGTCTCATGAGGACATCTCGCAACGCATGCTATATGTTCCAACCACTTTAACCTGTTTGACTTAAATCATCCTAAAATATCAGCCTTTGAGTATAAATTACGAGGTTTCTCACATACTGAAAGAAACGGTTCTAATATTTTTCTCACGACTCTGTTCTCAGACACCTCCATTTATGTTCTTCTCTCAAAATAAGAGACCATATCAACTGACACAGACTGTACCTGTTTATTATTGCTAGCTGTGATTGAGAGATCAGAAAAGTAGCCATCTTCCAGTGCAGGCAGAAGAGAGAATGATGAATCAATGGGAGGCTCTGGATCAGATGCAACTACTCGTTTGCAGTGCAGAAGACACCAGTCTTCGCATGTTAACAACATCACATCCTGTGGGTCTGGATGATCGACCTTAATGAATATAAATAATATCTCTTTACCACGAGAGGAATATTTTACAATACAATGATAATATACTTTGAGTCTTCTTAGAAAGCCCATGGACATGTATACTGTCACACACTGCCTACAGAATGCTTATTACACTGACTATTCCATGATTCAAACAAGATGGATAGTAGCTGTTAGGTTTTGTGGTGGCTAAGAATGTTGCGATGTGAATTATATCAACAAGATCTGCCAGTCTCCAATAATCATACTATTAATATCTGCTCTCTCCCTCATGGCTTTCATAAGTTAAGATGTAAATTTTTCACGAAAATAAAGTGTTTAAGGGGGTTGTTTTGTTTTAATTACACTTCATCTTACTTGTGCTAGGTTTTATGAGATAAAAAGAATGCAGTGCTGATGCAAGTGGTATCAGACTTAGGATGTTCAATTTGATTCGGTTCATCCTGATCTGTCACATTAGCAATATTATAAAAGTTATCAACTCCATCCAGTGTGACTGATAAACAACAAAGTGCGGCCCGAACAACAGGACAACACTAAAGAGTCCTGTTCATCAAACAACAGATCTACAAAATGGGGGACACTCAACTTCCTTTAAAGAGAGGCAGTATAAAGGAGACGAACCGAATTGGCTCTAAAAATTTTGACAAAGTCTTTTTAAACCACACTTGTAAAAAGTAAAAAGTAAAAAGTAAAGCTATCCCCTTGCTAGGCCGTGAAGGTCCATAAGGTTGTGAAATGCTGAAGGTCCCACATTATCTAGACAATCGGCTCAAAGATGGCGGTAAGGTTGTCAGCCTTACGCACCAGCTGCACTTTACTCCCCAGGAAAATTATTTAATTAATTCCTGGTATTCATTTCTGTTAGAGGCTGAGTCAACTCCAAGGCCATAGTGTGGCTGGAAGGATTAGGTCAACTGAAAAAATCTACTGACGTCATTGGGACTTGGACCCGTGATCTTCCGGCGTGTAGCATGGTGTTTCAGCCAACTATGCTACCACGTGCCCCCTAAACCACACTTGTAAACAAACTAATTATATATAATTTATATATATTTTAATACATTCATGCACATTGTTGTAGTTGTTAAAGGCTTGGATTTTATATTCATGGCATTGTGATGATACTGTGTGTATGTATTGATATTGACCAAACACATCGTAATAGTAGTTTCCACATGTATTGATATGTCCTTCTGAAAATGGTCTCTCAGACCAAAACATGTCATGGATGAAAGATTATAAAGAAAAAGAAGAAAAATATTTATCAGTCACACTGGATGGAGTTGATAACCTTTTATAGGATGTTCAAGTTCAAATAAAAGAGAGACTCAACACAAACCTAAAGCATGTGTATTCAACTAAGTTAAACTGGTGTTGTATGATTAAATGCTTCCAGTTATCTTATTCTAACACAGTTAGTTAATGTTAATCTAAATTAATAAATGTATGGAATTCAAAAGGAACATATTGCTCTCAGTTGCCTCATAAACACAAGCGAAGTGTAGGACTTGAGGTTCTCACAACAGTGGTTATGAACAAGTTCTATCTTCTGGGATAAAATGCCACGTAGGCTGATGAAAGTCAACCAACATTTCAGTAGGATAGGTTGCCTCCATCTGCAGGGTTGAAGAACAAGCCTAGCAAGAAACCAGTGTGAAGCAAGTAGCAAGCTCTGAAGTGACATGTTCCTCTGAAGTGTTGGCTGACTTTCAACAGAGTGTTATATCCAAAGAAATAGAATCTTCACAGCAAGATGCTTCACAAGACCCATTCACACTGCATTCCCAACTTGACATTTGCGAGGCTTTTAAATGATACTTCCATGCACACAACACAGTTTCAGAAAAATGGAAATACCTCATTTTGAGAAATACAAAATCAAAGGTCAAAGAGGAAGCATTTGAAATATAACTGGACAAATATATTGATAAAACAAGTCAATGGAAAGAACATTTTATTGGCTTTGACTTTAAAATAAAATGAGTTCTGTCTCAATTAGGGCAGAAGTTACACCATTTTTCCTAAGATAACTTGTGCCCCAAAAAACAACGATTTTTTTATAACTGTGGATGTCTGTTCTCCAAAATCTATTTGCCATATAACAGCAAATTTTATCATGAGTACTTACCCCACTGGGATACAGGATCAAATACCCATTATATAAATATCTGAAATAATTTAACAAAATTGCAAGTCCTACAAGCACTGAATTTCCAAAACTTCCAAGGCATTAACAGTCTGTATTCAATTCAGCCTCAGGGCACTGGCACTCGATGATTACAGAGATGACTCACATTTGCTGTGCATGCCAAGAACACAGATTTTCTGCATGTATGATATAGATACACAGTTTTCTTTTACTTTCGTTCAATGTATAACAGGTTTTCCTTTTCTGAAGTTCTTCTCTGCATGAAGTTCTCCCTGTTTTTGCCAGAACTCAGCTAATACAAGACTGAAGACCTCACGTTAGTTGGTGACATTTTGCTCTAATCTCTACATGGAATGTCACTACCTGCTTTGCTAAATGCTTTAAAATTTAATGTCTGGAAACATTTGAATTGTTCTTGCCTAAATTATATACAATAAATGCTGTGTAAGTATAGATAAGCTCTAGACCTCTTTCAATGACCAACTGAGGTTGATCTTCACATACAGAGTGCTGGAAGCAACAAAATATCACGGAACAATGTTATCAGAACTAAAACCAACACTGGCATATTTTTCGTCACCATCATGTTCAACTTGCTCATATTCACAGCCACCGACTTCAAAAACTGAACCATGATAATTAAGAACTGAAAAATTTCCTTCCCATCTGTTTTCATCATGTCTAGCTTCATTCTTCAGCCATCTCAAGGCGGTTTGATTAGAATTATGATAACTACGGATTACACTACATGAAGTTCCTGGAATACTGCCCATAATATTAATACCAGGTCTGGTCTGCCAGACGACATGAGTAGATCAAGCCAAACATTTCGCCTACAATGCCCAATACCAGCTGACTTGAAGTGACAGTGGGTTTACTGTGAGGCAGAAAAAATTACATCTACTCACAAAGTTACTGGTTGAACTGACAACAAAACACAATCTGCTTCACTTACCACTGCAATCTCACAGATTGGAGTCAGGTATTTAATGGATAAAAACTACTAAATCTGTCACCAAATTGAGATCTGTTGGAGAAATAAGTTACAGAAGTATGTCTACATTTCAGCAAAAGTGTTAAACTTCTCTAATATATGCACCAGGTTTATAAGTGACTAACTACAACAAAATACTTTGAAACAAAGAGATGCTGCACAAATATACTACTGTAATGTCTGCATTGGCATTAAATTTTTATTAAGATTCTATCTGTGCCAACCAAAAAATATGGTCAGTGGTCAGCACTCCAGCTTCGTATCCGGGGGAGATCCTGGGCTCGAATCTTGGCTTGGAGACCAACTATCCTGACTGACTGTTTGGTGGGGGAGTTATTCCACATCCATTCAAGCAAATGCTAGGACAATACCTTCAATTAAAATGACACTACATTCCTTCCCAATTCATTATTCACTGACATTAATATCATTTAATGTTGTATCAGTAGAAAGCATCATTATATAAACAAAGAATAAATAAGTAAATCAATATATGCAACTCGCCATGTTCTAATGTTAAGGATTCAACACAAATCACATATTGTGGTACACACACAAAAATCAACTACTGATGTTCTTAGCTGTAACAATCCCAAGCTTGAATGCCTTTTAAATATTCTCAAGGTCATCTTAATTCTAATGAGAAAACTGTATCCTTTGAAATCTCCATTTTATGTATAATCTCAACTACCCTTAGATGTACACTATGCAAGCTATCCAAATTAATAATCTGTGTGATTTCTGACAGAACTAAATTCATATAAACCACTGTAAATGTCATACAGTCTTAACAAGTCCTGAACCTGACTTATCATGCGATACGCAGATGATTCACGGACATCTGTTTACTGCACAACTTATCCACTATTATATTAAATGATACAATTATGGCATTATGAAAAAGCAAATTCCTCATTAGGAAACTGCTACACTGTGTTCATTAACTGCAAAGTGGTGACCACTTACAACTTTTTGTTACTTTTCATAATAAACACTAAGTATACAGTTTTGTTTAATACTTGCTCTGCTGAGGTTATGGATGCCATTCATTTATGAATAAAATAACACAGAATTTTTTACTACTAATATAACTTTTTCATAATCTCACCATGAACTCGATGACATGTCCAGCATATGCTCCAAATCTGACAACCACCCCAGACAAAGCTGTATCAGATATCTCATACGTTTCACAGTTAAAGAGCGGAATGGCTTCAGTCTCTTCTGGCACTGTCCACACCACATCACCACTTTCGTCCAAGCAAAACAACGTCCTAGGAATAATTTTACACCACACTTTAAACCATTTTACATTAACATATGGCACACAAACTACCCAAATTTATATTAACGACTACCAGACTAATGGTCTGATCTTTACTCACCCCTCTATTCCAGTCTTTTCTGTATTACCCGATTGAGAAATGCAACCCACAACCTGAAACACAAGAGTAACCAGTCTTACTGTAACCTGACTTTTTAAGAATTACTGCGCTCTGCTCGTCAACAAATAATTTTGACACCAGATGTAATTGCTACGCCCATTCTGTTGTCAAATAAAACATTATGAAACAGCCAAACACCTTTAGGCCGTTATTCTGCATGTATCGACTATTCGTAAACACACTTTTGTCACTTCTCTGCGTAAAACACATCAAGAAGTCGAATAGGTTTCGAAAAAACTATACTTTATAGGTTTATTTACCTCCCATGTACCGACAAAACCATGAGCAGCCATCACGACACTTTGCTTCGCTGTAGTGCACGATAGGTAGCAGCAGCTAAATTTTATGTCACCGTGCTTTGATACCACTGCAATAGCGGAATTGAGATCTAGGATGGTGTGTGTATGTTTCTGTACATAAGTATACTCGCTACGTACGGTTGGAATAACAGCAACAAGTAATGTAATTGTTTCGTTGACGTAGTATTTGTTCAGTTAAAATTAAAGTTTGAAAAGACTATTCTTCAGTATTCCATGCACAAAAATTGACTAACGGCATAATATTCTAATGGGAAGAAATTTAGCGGAATCATAGACGAAATCTAACATAGGCCATAGTTTTATATAAAGACACTTCCACGTCAGAAACTTGGTAAAAGAAAGGGCCAAATTAATAAATGTGACACTTTTGAATATTTGGGCATTCATAAACTTCAGAATCTCTTACAACGGAGTACATGTATAAATAGCAATAAATTAGTACTCAAAAAAGTAAGCCGCCTAAAAAGTCACTGGTTCAAATCCTAGGGCAGTTCTTTGGCCACTGATCTATATTTTGCATACTTTAAATAGCAAGTCAATGAGAAAATGCTTCCCACCGGTGAACTCCAGAAAAATGAATAAAATGTCGAATTTCCAGCACTGTCCAAAGTTAAGTTCAATGAATATAATTGTCCATATCATTTATAAACTTGTTGTTGTTGTTGTTGTTGTTGCTGTTGTTCCAGCATTTCATTTCATTTCCTTGTCAGTAGACCAGGTTTCCTCTGAAGGGGGCTCCAGATGTATTGGAGCAAGATTGACGGTTGGAGGCATTTCCCCCACTGTCTCTGTTGCCCTCCTCTTTTCAGCCATCTTGGTCCCAGAGGGGATGGATGTAATAGCCAGATCCCCCTCAGAAACAGATCTTCAGAATTCTAGGCTTCTTGCACCCCTTTCATCCTCCTTGAGCCCTACAATAGGATCTCTCAGAACCTTAACAGCCCCATGAGTGAGTCCTGTGAAAATCCTATACCCAGTGTCCTTGATGGCTTTATGGAATCCTGGCCTATAATAAGGATATGCCTCTGGCCTTCTAGGTCTGTTCACCTATCCAGTAGATCATCAGGAGTCTTGACAACTTTGTCCCTTATCCTGAGAGCCACCTTTACAGGCTTGGGGATGTTCCTGGCATCCGTAGCCTTCAGCTTGGCCCTTGACCTCAGCGTGCGATTGTCAGTGGCCCTAATGAGCCATTAACCAGACTGTTGGTCAGCATACACATACATGAGTGCACCTCCTTCCAGCCTGAAGGATCTCAGATGTGGCAGCTCTCCTTTCAGAGTCCCAAGGAACACCCCTCTCAGTTCGCTGAGGATGTGATCTTGATCATCCTCTGTCCACTTACCTTCAGGATAGTTCTCCTGGAAGATAGCTCTCTAAACATTGGTCAGAGCCTCATTATATGTCCCTGGTCCTTTCTGTAGAGGTACCGCCCTCAGGCCTTGGCTTCTTAGCAGTCATGGTCGGGATTTCTCCCTGCTTAGGCATGGCTATGTTCACCAGTTTCTGTGTGCTCTGGTTTCTGCTTGGCTTTCCTTTCTTTTTTTTAGCTTCCACCTAGTGCATCCAGACAGTTTGTCTTCATTAGGTACAGCCTCCTTACTCCTGAGGCTAAATGTCTCAGACCACATCCTGCAGGTGGGCTGGAATTGCTAGCTCCCTGGAGTTGTAAGATATGCTGACTTCCAACAGAGAAGTCCTTCATGTTATCTCAGGAAGGTTTCTCATTACTGGTCTGCCTCTGCCCTTGGTTGAAACCTCAACAGGGGTTTGCTGGTTGTGCCAGTGTTCCTTTATGCTGCGCCAGAGCTCCTATCCCCCCACTGAAGAATTTCTTGTAGAGGTCTCCTTCAACAGGAGTAACTTTTATTTTTAGAGTCTTTAGGACCTGTTTATTTTCCTTGGTATCCATATCCAGTTCCATGAGGTGAGGAAAAACGATTATTAATCTTTATATTTAACCACAATAATAGTCAGTCTTGCCGGTCACGGTAGCCGAGCGGTCTAAGGCATGCACTGTCTTCGCTCGCTCAGAAGCCAGGATCGTGGGTTCGAATCCCACTCAGGGCATGGATGTTTGTGTGCATTTTTCTGTGTTTGTCTACAGGTAGAGGCCTTGGGACAAGCTGATCACCCGCCCAAGGAGTCCTACCATATGTGTAAGATCTAGAAAACCGAAGTGAATGGAGAGTTTCATGGAGGTAGGCCTAGGCCCAAATTGGGGCTGTAGCGCCACAGAAAAAAAAAATTGTTAGCCTTAAATATTCTCGTAAACTCGGAGGTGCTTTCTTATATACTGGGTGTCTTAACTGTGATAATTTTCACTAGCATTCAGATTTTTACTTGCAACAGCTCACAACGCAGTGGTTACACTGACGCTTGTTTCTGTCAGCTGTTGTATTATTGGTATAATTACTCAATTTCCATTTGGTTGTAAATAAAGTAGTTGTTCCCTGAAATCTAAGTATAATCTTGGTCAACTTTAAGGAAGTGACAGGTCTTTTCTACTTGAAGCTGTCTCCTGCTTCCTAATTCCCATTCTGATTTTCAGACTCCACTCTAAGGGCCTCACCTTTACAGCCTTTCTTCCTAACACTCAGTCCCAGAATCCCTCTCACTTCATAATTTGCAGTATTGGTTTCCCAGTCCCATCTTCAAGGCCTTTTTTATAACCCAGTACCTACTTCCATTTCCTTATCATGAAGGAGTCCCATTCCTCAGTGGAGATGCCTATGAACCAGATTCTGCAAACTATGATTTTAGGATGACAATAATGGCCAGAAGATGGGACCTATGGCTTAACTTTGGATATGAACCACAGTGAGAAGCTGTTTTTCCTCACATTCATAAACTGTATCTTTATCACAGCTGAGGGAAAAGGAAGGTCCTGAAATACGAGTATAATCGGAACACATCCTTGGATGTGTGAAGAAACCTTTAGGTACTAAGTTTATCAAGGATATGCACAAGAAAAAAATCCAAAGGCTGAAGCTTAAACACATCTCACATCCAGTTGGTTCCGACATATCTGCAACATTCATGATACAGTCAAGAATCTCACTTGAGAATCACTATCATGTATTAACATGTAGTCATGCTGTGATGAATACAAAGAGTATAAATAATTTACTTGTTGAATAACTAACAGAATATACCTCTACAGCACTATTTTTAATCGATAAGTTTCCAGTAATTACCGTAATTCTGACTCATATATGTGCATTAATAAAAAAGAAAAGAAAATGTCTTAATAACACCTGTAAAAATATCAACAGCTATCCTAGTTCATTCATGGTAACTGTAATAAACAGTTAATTCAGAAAAACAAAACATATTGGCTTTCAACTTCAACATAAACTGGCTATGGGTAAGGTGTGTACAATAATGAACACTAGGGTATCAAACCTGAATGTAACAGAGCAAATCCCAGTAATTTCCAAACAGTGCTCTATGGAACCCTTAGTTCCATGGACTGATTTGCTAAAGACAAATGTTTGGAAGTCTTAAACCTTTGTTTTATATGTGGATAGCATCTTCTGTGCTGCTTTGCTTCATGTATGCACGAGTAGGCCAAATCTTCATAATTCTGTAGCAGTGAAAGGTCCAGCAAAAATCAGTAATGCCATGTCTGGGTCCCAATCTTCTTGCTTCTAATGAGTGGGTGAGTATGTAGGTGTGTCTGCATGCACAGCTCTTTGTGTTTCCTGATTTTAGTATGATCATTTCTGTAGATATGGATATCCTATATTTGCCGTTATTATCCAGTTCTTAACCTTTTCATGGGTTACTTCAGTCCTTCCAGACAAATGACAGAATAGGGAAATGTATCTCGATTAAGCCACAATTTCTTCCTTCCAACTCATCATTCATCCTACCTTTCAATGCTATTTAGTCTAGATACTGACAGCATCATAAAATACCTCTTCTCCAAAGCTGCCTTGGTGGAGTGGGGTAACATTCCTCAGCAGATCACTATTTGGAATAAGTTCAGTAGTTCCCTTTGTCTTGTGCTATACCTTTGGACAATAAGATTTAATCAGATTCTACTTAGCATTTTTCATTGTAAAAAGTGTCTGACACTCCAGAAATTGCGGCATTTTTTGCTTCCAGCAAACTACATAATATGAAATGTGTAAGAAATAGAGGTACTTACATATGAGTGGGTGACCCAAGTGACTTTAACACTTACTGTCATGTTGTCCAAAATATTTGTGCTGCCAGCCTTAGATGTTCATTTGCAAAAGTAACACTCAAAGCCTAACCTGAGAATTCTCCTCTTCAATCAATTCCACAAGGTTAGGCTTTTGGTTCTATTTTTAAAAATAAATATTGGAAAACCTTCTAAGGTTAGGCTCTAAAATCTGTTCTTACAAATATGAACTTCTGTAGTTCACCCTGCTAACATGGTGGGCATGGCAGAAAAGTTTTAACGTTACTTGGGTCAACCTGTTACTAAAGTGTGAAAATAGATATCATAATGCATCAATATTTATTGTAGTTACATGTAACTAAATATTAGAAATGAACAGGGTCAGCATTAGAACCAGTTATTTTCTGGAGAAACTTTTTATTTTAGACTTGAAGTCGGTCGATTTTTGAAGCTGAATCAGACATAAACAAACCTTGGGAATTTTCACTACTACAAAAAAAATATCTGGAATCATAAAATGTAAATAAAACACATAATGTGTTTATTTTTGTATAATGTAGATGAACTTGCATAATTAAATCAGTGTCATGTTTGATGAACACTAACAAAAACAAACCACACTTAACATTGTTCTGGAACCCAGTATCTTTCATTATAGCTTATGATCATATACCGTATGTCCAAAAAGTATCCGACTTTATTTTTTTCCGCTGTAATTAATGGCCAAAGGGGTGGGGAAACTGAGCAGAGTGTAAACCTAAAAACTTATCTGGATATGATGAAATTTCTCTCAAAATTTTAAGAATAAGTTCTTCTTTTATTGCTGCTCCACTCAATCATATCTGCAATAGATCAGTTTTATCAGGTAATTTTCCTTCGCGAATGAAATATTCTATAATAATACCGCTATTCAAAAAGGGTGACAAAAAAGATATTAAGAATCATAGACCTATTTCACTATTAACATCCTTTTCTAAAATATTTGAGAAAGTTATTCATGCAAGAATCTTAGAACATGCAATTAACAATAACATATTATCTACAGAACAGTTTGGGTTTATAAGCAACTCCTCCACACAAAAAGCAACATTCATCTCAGTAAATGGCATTCTGCAGGCATCAAATAATAAGTCGTTTGTCAGGGGTATTTTTTGTGCTTTAGAAAAGGCCTTCGATTGTGTCAACCATGGCATACTATTGAAGAAATTGGAATTTTATGGAACTGTAGGCAGTGCTAATACACTAATGAAATCATATCGTATCAACGTGTCATTGTTAAAGATAATTTAGCACAAGGAAATGCTACCTCAAATTGGGGCTAGATTAAATATGGTGTTCTGCAGGGATCAGTACTCGGTCCACTGCTTTTTCTGCTTTACATAAACGACCTACCTAGAGTGGTAAATATGGTTTCTCAACCTATTCTTTTGCTGATGACACTAGTGTTATTGTTAATAATACTAACTGTATAAATTTTAAAAAAGACCTTATCTTCTCATTTGATCAATTCAATAAGTGGTTTAACACCAATCTGTTAGCATTAAATTTTAATAAAACTCAATACCTACAATTTAAAACGATGAATAGTTTAACTATTCCAATAAACATCAGTTATAACAATAAATGTATCGGTAATAACACAGAGACAAAATTCTTAGGTATTACTATTGATGATTCCCTGTCCTGGGAAAACCATATTCATGGTCTCAAGGTAAAATTATGTAAAGCCTCCTATGCAATTATGACACTTAGACCCTTTGTATCACTTGAATCCTTGAGGATGATTTACTTTGCTTGCTTTCACAGCACTATGATGGGTTAATTTTCTGGGGACCTCTTCTTATAGTGGCAGCATATTTAGACTGCAAAAAAGGGTAATAAGAATTATTACTAATTCCAGAAAAAAAAAACTCGTGTTGAGAACTGCTTAAGTATTTGGACATATTACCATTATATTCCCCAATTCAAATTTCTGTTATTAACTTTTGTATCAGATAATAGAGAGTTATTTAAAACTAAGACAAATTTGCATAGCATAAATACCAGAAGCAAAAAAATTTTCATTTCCCACAACCAAGATTGTCTATCTATCAAAAAGGTGTTTATTACATGGGCATTAAGATTTTTAATCAGCTTCCATCCTATTTGAAAGGCATCATAGACAAGAAGAAACTGTTTAAATCTTCATTAAAAAGGTACTTACTAGAAAATTCCTTTTACTCATTGCAGGAGTTTTTTAACAGTAAATAAAATGGTATATTCTATTCCCATTGGTATTTGTGATATTATATACTTATCACAGTCATTGTGAGTAATTCTATTTTGCCTCTTCTTACTTTTATTTTAAATTTTAGGTTTTTATTAAACTGATTAGAAAGGACCGGTAATCAATGTTACTATATGTAAAATGTTTTATAGGGCTCTTGCCGGCTCTTACTTAATATACTTTTATGCTAATCATATACATTAGTATTTAGTGACTGATTTATTTTCCAGTTCACAATGTATTATGTTGAGTTGTTTTGATTTGTAATTGTATGACTGATGTTTTAATATTCAAAGCATGCATAATATATTCTTTGAGTATTTGGTGCCTTGTATATCTGTGACTGCTTCTATATCGGACTGGCGACATTTGTAGCCTGTTCTTGATTGATGGAATATTACAATAAACTGAACTGAAATTTAGTTACTGGTTCATTGCTCTTATATTCCTAAAAGTAAATAACTTCAAAACATCTTCATATCATGCTATAAAGGTAAGCCATGCACATTAAAGCAGTACTACGTCCAAAGAAATTACTTCATAATATTAATGAAGGCAGTTACCTACATTGATTATAATACTGATTTTCCTTAACATCATTCCTTGTAGTGACTGTGTTTTTGGCATCCAATTAGAGCCATAGCTGAAGCAGTTAGTCACTGGCTTCCCACCGTGGTGGCCCAGGTTCAATCCCGGGTCTGGTCAAGTTGAATTTGTGGTGGACAAAGTGGCACTGGGGCAGGTTTTCTCTTAGTACTTCAGTTTCCCCTGCCAATCTTCATTCCACCAGCTGCTTCACAATCACCCTCACCTATCATCTGGGGCTGGTACAATAGGCCAGAAGTGGCTGCAGTACAAGGGACTTAGTCCCAAACCACTAGCAATAAAAAAGGATATCTGTAATGTGTTTATGTCTAATTACTGGCTAAAAACATATGAAACCTAAAAAATAAAAGGAACAATAACAGCAACAATCATGAATGTACTTGGAATAAACTTTGGAGACTTTTGATTTTGATTAATATTTATTTTAGAAGTTCAAGTGATTTGCATGAGTATATGCTTCTGATGATATAGAATTAAAATGTTGGACTTGTGAGAAGCATGTATACAGTGTGCTTCAATAGAACACCAGCTTTATCACATGGTACACAGTCACTGGTGCTGTTAAAACTGTAGCTGTGTAATCTGTTGCAATTTCCTTAACTCATGTACATATCCGTTGAATAATTTTCAGTAAGTTTATGAAAACAGAAACAAGAATTATGGAATTCATGACTGACCAAATACAGTTTCCAATCACAAAATAGCCAACATAACCTTAACCTTTGTATTACAAATTTATTAAATCTCCACAATGTCAAATCAAAGCCATGTAACCATGCACATTTCTTCGTTAACAATGTATTTGGTACCAACTCATTTTCAAATAGGAATTTATAATAACTGGTAATACATGGATACAGTACCAAAATATTGCTAAAAAATAATATGCAATCCGTTTCTTCGTGTTATGTCCTATAACTACCAGAGTCTGATGCTTCATCATGCCTCCTGCACTCTGTACATGCCAGTTTTTAGCATATGAGTCCTGAACAAAGGAAACATTTCAAGATTTGTTGAAGAGTGCCTTGTGGATTGTCCCTATGTCAGGAACAACTGATGACTTCCCTCCTGTTGGAAGCTTGAATGAACTGCCACTGGAACTCCGGGAACTGTTAATAACAATACTAGTATTAATATTATGCATGAGTTTGGACTAGGAGAGAGATTTCATTATAAGCAAAAGTTCTACCATATATGAAGAAATAAATATGGCAGGACATTACAGAAGATATGAAGGTAGATATGCAGGAAGAAAAATTTTTCAAATTAAGTGGCATGGAAATGTGTTAGGCATGGATGACAATACAATTCCTTTGAGACCATGTCAAATAAACAGAACACTGGATACACCAAGCAGATGACGTGACCAAGAAAGGGACAGACTCTTACCAAAATATATAAAGAAGAAAAAAAAACAATGCCCGGACCTCCAAGGGTGGCATTCTAGCCAATTTCCTGTTGATAGAGGGGGCACAAAGACATGAACCCTAGCAGTTTACGATTTTAAATTTTAAAGGGTTTTATTAATATTTTAACTCACCACAATTTAGCTTCATTTACAATCTTTATACGTAAAACTCTGGACAACTTTGAACTTGATGTACTATAACTTATGTAATAGTAGTTCCCTCAGGTGTTGTTATTTGCCTTCTGAAGATGGTCACTAAATGACCGAAACATTTAAAGGCATGATATATGAGGGGGGACCCAAAAATAACCGGAAACGACCTGTTGCGCGCACATGCTTTGTAGTTACGAGTTGTGCTGCTAGGTGGTGTTAGCTGGGGGTCTCCCACGACTGTTAGTGAGCTGGCATCACTCTGAGTTAAGTGGTTTGTCTGTGGTGCTCTGTTGTGTGCGTTCCTGTTTCAACCCTTTGGCGATCAGTGAGATGGCCGACCAGAAGGAACAATTCTTTTAAGAAATTCTGGATCGTTCTGCACTTCACTCTTCAAGTCGCGGCAAACATTCACGCGGTTTTCTCTTTGGTCATCTCCGAGCAAGCGAGGAACAAATTTTGCAGACACCCGTCTCATGTGCAAACCTTCGGTTAAAATTCGCTGGACCGTGCTCCATGAGATGTTCGTTTCCTCAGAAAGTTGGTCAATGGTCTTTCGANTCGCGGGAGACCCCCAGCTAACACCACCTAGCAGTACAAATCGTAACTACAAAGCATGCGCGCGCAACAGGTCGTTTCTGGTTATTTTTGGGTCCCCCTTCGTATATATACACTTCTGAGTCACATGGGCAGCGTAATCAAATCAATCTATAGTACTGACTAGTGTGATGGACCAGAATGAATACAGTTAAAATTAAGAAATTGAAGTAAAACAAAGCGTTTCATGGATGCCCTATGCTCAAAATTGGAGCAACAGGCAAAGAGGCAGGCAGGCAGATAGACAGAGCGATAGATAGATAGATAGATAGATAGATAGATAGATAGATAGAGTTTATGACAATCACAGGTACAGGCAGTCATTAAATAAAAAGACTTTAAACTTTAACGGCAGAATGTTAAATATATATGCAGCAAGCAGCACCCCGAGTTGGCCGAATGTTTTATATATATATAGCCCAGCTTTCTTTCGAGAACTGATGAGGAAATATTCATCGGTGCTTGCATACGAATGCTTCCAGAGCCTTCAAGGAAGTGTGAAGCATTCAAGAATTGGTATTCAGTGGCAAATTATCAGTCAGGACGTCAGTGTCGGATTGTCTAATATTTCTTTATCAGTTAAAAAGTGTCAGACTCATATAGTTCTTTGTATATCATTTTTATTTTGTGTCTTGGAAGAGGTATAAACCCACTGAGCCAGTATTACTTTGTGAGTAAAAGGCATCTTCGCCACTGTGACTTTCGGTATCAGTGTCGGACTAGCACCCTTTTTGACTAGTATGGTAATTACTTTGCATTATTATTTTGTGAATACTACTAATAGGTGAGAGTGTCGCTTTGTCAATCAACATAATTTATTCGATTTTGCTAGAATCCCCCTCCCCCAAGATGATTCTTCAATTGCACAAGGCGAATATCACGGTCAGTGGCGTTTCTCGGGGGGAGGCCAAGGTTATCTGGGGCCCAACTCAGTTGGAGGTGAAACATTCACAACACTGGTCAACCAAAGAGAAACAAAGACGTCGTGTGTTTTGCTAAATAAGAAAAGCAGGAGCAAGCTCTTCTATTGTAAAAAGTGTAATGTTGCTATGTGTGAGGTGGTCTGCTTCAACAAGTGCAACACGCGTCAGTGTGAGTATCATAAACTGTGAAGTGACGCAGTTCAAATTCATGTACAGTAAAATTATTGTGTAGAGTGTGATTATATTTACAATATCACCAAGTCTCAAAGCTGAATATCATGGTCAGTGGCATTTCTCAGGGGAGGCCAAGGTTACCTGGGGCCCAAATGAGTCGACTGGAGGCGAAACATTCACAACACTAGCCAACCAAAGGGAAACAAAGACTCTGTCGTCCGTTTCGCTAAAAAAAAAGAAAAGCAGGAACACGCTCTTCTGTTGTAAAAAGTGTGATGTCGCTCTGTGTGAGGTGGACTCCTTTGAGAAGTGCCACGCGTGTCAGAGTGTATCGTAAACTGTGAGGTGACGCAGTTCAAACTCGTGTACAGTCTGAACAAAATATTATTGCATATAGTGTGATTATATTTACAATATCACCATGATTCAAGGTTGAAGAAAAAACAAAGGGTAAGTCCTTTGGAATTTCTTAACATATATAATAAAGATTATATTTGGCATTTCATGACAAAATAATCACAGTTTATTTTTGTTTGTAAAAATTGCTCTTTTGTGTATATGTAGAAAATTTTATTGTCCTTCAGTCTGTTTTTAGTTTGTATTTCTGTGTTGCATAGAACGGAAAATATGTATTTTTTTTCTGAAAGTTTGCAATGCTAATTAATTAGGGTGATTTAAATACCGGCCACAGAGGGCTCTTGGCAATTTAAAATTCTGTACGTTAAAGATTAATGTCTTTATTATTAGATGTCAAACTGCTGAATTTGTTGAGATATGTAAAGAAACAAAATCATCCTTAAGTATTATAGCTAGTCAAATCATTAATGGTCTTCCTTATTCAGAGGTCCCATATATTTTGTGAACAATGAAATGTTAATTCTTGCAAAATTATAAATATTATATACATATCATCACAATGAACTTTACAGGGTAAGGATTTCCAATATTAGATTCTATAAAAGATGAAATATATCCATTCACCTTATGCACTTCAAATGAAGAACACACAATAAATGGTACATCAGCAACATTATCCACAGAAGAACGCTAAAGTAAATGTCATTCAGGTCAATAAAAGATAGACAGTGGACATGGGCTGAATATACACTTGGTTATCAGGTACCTGGTTGAATTCTTTGCAGCACTAGGTATTGATGGTGGCCTGGAATTCACTAGCATACACTTCATGGGCTGCCCATCAAGTTGTCGATTGTGGTAGACATCAACAGCTTTCACAGCATCCTTATGTAGCTGGTACACCACCTCTGCTGTTCCTGGTCGAACCAGACGTGATGTCACCAGGGGACCTATGTCTTCAAAGAGCTCCTAAAAATTAATTTAATGTATTAACAGAAATAAATATTGTCACGTATCGGGCGTATATCGCGACAAATAACTTCTCGATGTATTCGATGTAGCGAATTTTATTTCACACTCGCTCTTACAATCACCCGAATTACAATCTGACGATTACTGCTATCTGCAGTATCACAAATAGTACACTCCCAATGCCACAATGCAACTGACTGGTTGCTGGCTAACTCGACGATAGGTCCAGGACTCGCTGACTGACTCAGTACAAC